GAGCCAAGATTGTGTTCGCCTCTACTACACAGTATGCTTTTGACTCTATTGGCCTGGTTGTTGTTCTCTATGTTAGTACAGAAGTTTCTCCAGCACTCAGTTTTCCTGGTTCTGATTCTCTTCTTATATTGTTGTCGGGCCTGCGTGTAGGCATCCCAATGTTGGTCTAATCGCGAGTTTTTTTGCTTTATTGAACAACTTTCTCACTTTACGACGTAGTCTTTCCAGTTCCGGACCCCACCATTGGTGTTTGTTCTGTGGTCCAGTTCTGGGTGTGGAAAGTGGGCATGTTTGTTCAAAGCAATCGATCAGTGTCTGTGTAAGGTTGACAACATGACTGTCAATGTCCTTAACAGTCCCCGTAGCGTATGTTGGGTTGATGCTTCGCAGATTCTCCGCAGTAAGATGTTCATACCGTTTCCGGTCCATCGTGCGGGGATTCCGTCGGGGATCGGGTAGTTTAAGTTTCATTTCAAAGTTAAATTTGATCCAGCGATGGTCTGAGCACGATGCTTCGTTCGAAACATGCCAGTTCGATATGTGTTGCGATGCGTGCTCACTTGCTAATGTAAGATCAATTATAGTTTGGGCCCTGGACGTGACAAATGTCGGCTCCGAGCCCACGTTGATAATGTTAAGGTTAGTTGATAATAGGAACGATAGAAATTCCTCACCTCTCCGGTTGTTGCTCCTGCTGCCCCACAGCGCATGGTGCGCGTTGGTGTCGGCAGAGATGATCAGCTCCAGACCCTCGCGCTCGCAGTGGTGTGCCAGCGCAGCCAGCTCCGGAGTGGGGATGTCAGCATCGCCCGGCAAGTGGGCTGATGCTATCACCACGTCAGGCAGGTTTGATGAGGGTTCCTTTAACCTAATAGAGGTAAGGTCTCTGGAACAGAACTCGGTCATTAAGGTAGTACACGCATGTTTTGGTGTATAAATACAAGTGCGCGGGTTATCAATGGTAGTGTTGAGAAGTATCTTACCTCCAATATTATTTAGACCGCAGATCCTGCCCTTCCTAATCCACGGCTCCTGGATTAGGGCTACGGTGTTGGTTTTTACCTCCAGCTCTCTGCGTAGGGTAGCCGTTGCTGTATAGCTGTGCTGGAGGTTGGTTTGGATGGCTATAAGGGTGTTATGGGGGGGTGCAGACAGCGCCATCATCGCTGTTCAGCATATCCTCTATGTCGTCGAGGTCACTCTCGCCCACCGGTAGGTCCTCCAACTCCTCAGTAGGTGGACCCCGGCAGGTTGTCTCCTCAACGGGTCTCAGAGGATCCCCTCCATTGCCGTCCTTAGGGTGTTGTAGGGCCGATTCTCCTCCTCCCTCGAATGGCTCCTCGTTTGGGTTAGTTGGTGGGGCGGGACGTTCTTCAAGGAAGCGAACGTAGAGGTTACCCAGTTTGTAGTATACTCTACGCTCGCTAGCCTTGAGCTTCACGACGTCCTCTTCTGGGATGCCGAGCACTAGGAAGAGACATTTCTTTTCCTCCTGCGCCTCGGCATGGTAGAGGGCCCAGTTGGCCACATTGTACTGGCTATTCTGGTACTTTAGCCTCATTTGAATACGGACCAGTGTATCATCTGGTCTGATTTGTGGTACCAGGAGTCCAGCCTTGATCCTTTTCGGGATCTCAGACTGCCTCCTGACGACCAGTTTGGTGCCTTCACGTGGTGATGGGATCCTTACCAGCGATCGGCGAAGCCACTGTAGGGCATATTCGTCGTTGCACCACATCTTAAGGGCGCCCTCACTGTAGAAGGCCTTGCCCCTAAACTGTGGCGCAGCGACGGGTGCGCTTGACGTGCCGGGCGAGAAGATCTCCTCATCTAGCACGCCCTGCAGCTGGCCCTCGATGTCCTCTGCCTGTGCCTTGGTGAGGTCGTGGTAAGGCTCCAGCATGACCGCGACGCAAAGGTCATTCGCCTTTAGTGCGTCGGAGTAACTCGTGGAGCCGGTCTTTGGCAGCGGTTTGAATCGCTTGCCACTGCCCTGGGGAGTGCGAGACTCGTCCGGGCGAGTTCTTTTGACGGGCTTTGTATCACTTGAAGGTTTCCCTCCCCGTGTCGCTCGTCTCGCCCGTTTACCCTGTCCAGGTTGACCCAGCCTAGAGGGTACTTTGGCCGCTACAGGCGTCTTGGCAGGTGGCGCCCCCACAGGAGTACACTTCCCCGTGGCTTGACTTTCGTCTTCGCCTCGGGGCAGCACGTCACTGGCGGGGGCAACGTGGGCCCCTTCGGGCCCTTCAGCGACTTCAAGCCGCTTACTTCCACCCGAGGTCAGACACCGTGCTTGCCTTTCCACTCGGGCTTTCGCCCTGTTGGCGTTACGGGTCTTCTTGGACGAGTTTGGTTTTTTCGACGCTCTCTTCTTTGTCCTTACCAGGCTCCAGCCGGTTTCTTCCAGGCCGGGTCCCGCAGGTACGGGCATTGCTGCCCTCAAAGAGGAGAGGTCGATGGTCGACACTGGCTCCGTATTCTGGTTAGACACCAGAGGTGTCGCCAGAGTCGTGTATGGCGCTGCGGTCGGGTTGTTTGCCTGAGCAGCAGCCAATGGTGTATTTGCCGGATTCACCCTTGGGTTGTTCACCCTGGGGTCAGCCGATTGGTGGTTTAGCCTGGCACTTGGGTTGTTCACCCTCGGTACCGGCTTGGTGGTTTTTTTATTAGTTGGTTTTTTAGTATCCATAGTTTTTTTGGTATACTATTCATCTCCTTGTCCTTCCACCCTCCTTGGAGCCCTCAAGTGGGGACGCCGCGGCAGAAGGCACACGACGCCAGAAGTGACAAGGAAATATAGAGCTCCCTCCCTGGCAGAAGGCAGGCCGAACTAGGTAGGAAGACTTGGTCGTCCCACCCGTCGTCCACCCCCACCAAGGAAGAGCTCTCGCCCAGCAGCCCTCTGACGGGATACTACAGCCGATTGACCAAAGGTGGCTAGCCTTCAGCCTCCCGTGTAAAGAGAAATCCAGGCCAAAGCAGTGTGTTGCCTTTCAGCTCAACTACCAGGATCCCTTCATCCTCCCTTACGGGTCCCCGCACACGGCACAAACATGCGGGTGGTTGCCCCCCCTCCCCCTCACTCTCAGTCTTTGTTGATAGTGAGGCCGCAGGCACCAACCACTTAGTGTCCGCAGTAGGTGTGGATGGGATAGAAAATGGGAAGGGATAGGTTTTGTGGGATGGAATTGCGTCTGGGTGTTTCTGTTATATCTGTTTCGTAGGGAATCAGACCTAAAACAGGCGGCAACCACGGGAAGGATGACACCCAGACTTGCCATGGGGATCTACACGACTGTTGCGCTCTCCCCCATGACCATTCGCCGTGTACGCCCTCCGGACAGGAGGGCGTACCAGGATTGGATCTGCTCCAGGCGATCTTGGCCTTTTGGAGCACACCCAACCCCGCCCGTTAAGAAGGGGAGAGGTTCAGCGAAGTGTCACATACATACCTAATATCACATCTTGTTGATTGACTGCCTCACATGTCAAAATCAAAAGTTTAAAACACATCAGACAAACAAAGCTGAAGCTATCCAGTTACTAATACCTGAAGAATTAGAAGTTAATGAAAATGTGGGAAATGATATCTGTACTACTTTTTTTATAATAATCCTAATAGTGTAAATCACGATGTTGATAGGCTCCCTTAGCACCACTTTTTTGTTCTGTGTGGAACTCCCCTCAGACACCACCCACCACTCCGACTGCCGCCACGAAGCTTTGCTCCACCCACGCCAGGCATTCTGCTAGCGTGTGGAGCGCCGTGTCCACGGTCCGGCCATCGCAGTTGTGTCTCTCAGGCGTCGGATTGCGGATCAGATATAGGTGATCTCCAAAGCTTTGTTTACAGGTGATCACCTGCGTCAGCCGATATCCACTCCTCCACGAGGACCTGGCGGAGCTGGGATTTCTGATCCTCGATTTCTCGCGACTGATACAGAGCCGCAAGGTGGAGTTCCGGCCAGGAGTCTCGCCGCTGCCGCCGAAATGATGCCTGAAGTCCCATCGGCCATTAAGTACGAGCCTCAGATACTGCATCGGGGGCTCGATGCCGATGCGAGTGCCTCCTACTATGAGGCTGAATACCTCTCCGAGCGCCATGAAAGAACAAGGCCCCGGATTTGTTAAGGATTTGTGATCGTCCACGGAGATAGTCTGCAAGAATCTGGAGAAGTACAGGAAGCTGCAAAGTTTTGTCCGCAGCTTGTTGCAGCAAGTTTCGTCAAAGCATTGTTGACCCTCTCAAACGCCTTCCGCAAGTCGAAGTAAAGAACGTCAACGTGAGAACTTGATATATATAGTTTACGAGGGTCAGTAAATTAGAGTCTAAGGCCTTACTTGTGCGATTATGTCTTTATGTATAATCCTTTGTTGGAGAAAACAAAACAGCAATCAGCCTTGTCAATTATGAAATAACTAAAAAAATCAACTATAAAGAAACAATTTAGCCCTTTTCTGTAATTTTTACGATAGTTCACTAATATATAAATGTTGTACTAGTAAAGTTAAAAATCAAAATTAGCATTTAATTTCTAAGATTATACGCCTATAATTTCGATTCTCAGTATAGTTCGATTGTATCAAAAACAGAACAACGAATGTCTCACTTATATCAAAAACCTTACTCCTAAAATCAGCTTTTATTCCAGTATCTATTTTCGGTAAATATTTACATAAAAGCAACGAAATCAATTGATTAAAATATTGTTATGTGTAAGTTTAGGAATCGATTTATTATGTGATGGCAATTGAACGTATTTATCTTGTCTGTACTGCTACTCTACTGTAGTCTATTGCACAATTTATAAGTTTTAATTTATCTTTTTTTAGTGTGTCTTGTGTCATGGTTTCTTTTCTTGAAATATATATTTGTGTTAATCATTTATGTTGTGATTTGCGAACTGTATTCCCGAAAGAAAATACATTACAAATATAAGTGAAATCGTATGATACTGTGTCAAAAGAAAATGAACTTCTAGTGCGATTAAGTTGTAAGAATGGTGAACGACACTTCAATATATTCTTTGAAATTGTCATCGCTACCATTTGAGATTAGGCAATTGTTATCACAGTCACTGAATTCGGAAAAAGTTATTCTCTGTGATGGTCCTGATAAACTACCCAGGTGATTTATATTTGTTTTTCTCATTTATAAGTTTTTGTCAAACAACAAACAAGTACTTCCTCTATGGTATTACTGGTTTGTTTTTGTTGAACCTGTTATTGTAATAATGACTGTTTTGAAATGCAATTAGTAAAAAACTGTACTTTAGTTGTGTATGTTTGCGTGTGAAATATTGCCTCCAAATTTAAGAGGAGCTTAGTGGCAGCAAGATTTGTGATGATCAGTTTTCTTAAGGGACTGCCTTCTTAGGTTATACCAAAGTGCTTTGCAAAGACCCACTTGTAATGTTATTTGTTATTTATAGTCCTATGATGTTATTTTTGGATTCAACAAGTGAGGTGTATACTAAGTCTGCATAGTTGTTTATATCTCATTTTATTAAACTGTGTATTTAAATAAGAACATTGCCAAAATCTCCTGCTAAATGTAAATAAATATTAGTCTTTTGTTTACATATCAATAAAGTTAACTCTTGGAAAGTAGAGGTTTTTAAATAAGCATCATTAGAACTTCACTTATGATGTCTCTATTCCTGCCACAAAATAGCTAATTACAGTCCATTTTGCTTTGTTTATTTTCTTTTTGAATGTTTATTTGCAACACGGTGCAATACTAGAATTTCAAATTTCGTAATATAAATTCCTTCAAAATTCAGTTCTGTTAACTCTCAATCTCGACTGTTTTTTTTTCTTGTAATTAAAGTGCTAACAGACACACAATTCCTAAGTTTTGTTGATTACTGATAAATTTAAATTTTTTGTTTTTTTTTAATTAATAAAAAAATAAAGTATTTTTATATGATATCTATGTACAACTACAATACCTATTGGTGTCTTTCAAATAAATAATAAAATATAGCAATACAGCTTATATGATATCTTTTGTAAAAAAATATCATTATAATATCATAAATTAATATCCACCTAAGCCCACATCCTCATTTTAGCTGCTATATATCAGTGTTATTTGAGAGATAATGGATTTTACTTGAAATAAAAAACCCATTTCCATACAAAAAGTGAATATTCTCTTGGGCTATAACTTTGCTCCTGTTAAAATAAATTAATGGTCAATGAATTAACATATATATGATAATATTAATTGGAATGTATGTTTTTACTAATTAGTTATTTCTTGACTTACCTGTAAGTCTAGTGGTCTGCTGGTTTGGGTCTTGACTGCTTAGCAGGTTGTGGTATATTAATACTATGAGCATGATTGTTTGTTCTGAGTCTGGGTAGAAATTATCGATAATATATTTAGAAATATATATAAGTGTGTATATTCGCCTGTACCTTATAGTACAGGCTCTCCTGTACTATGGTAATCAGGCTGATAAAAACACAACACACAACCACAAGATCTCAAACTAGGCAGAGGCATTTGAGATTGTGTGGTTATGTGTGATATGTGCCAAATTATTGTTATTATTGTATATCATTTTAACTTATATGTAGATTTCCTTTCTAAGGAGAGGCCTATGTCCAGCAGTGGACTAGTAATGGCTGTTGATGATGATGATGTAGGTCTTACCACAAAATACACACAAAAGCTGTAGATTAAACGCCAATGAATAAGTTTTCTATTCATCGATCGCCTATAACAGTCCACTGCAGGACTTAGGCCTCCATAGGAAGGAGGTATTGGCCTACTGTACCACGCTGGCCAGATGAGTTGGTATAGGGTTTGTTTCAAGTTTTCCTTCTCTTTGCAGAGCTGTTGTCCTGTATAGTTTGCTCCCTTAGTCGGCTCTTACGACACCCATGGGATGAATAGGTATTCTGAAACCTTCACCACACGAAATTAGTTTTCTATTAATAATAAGCCCTTTATTCTGAATTAGTACATACAATATTAAACAGTTTAGAAGTTAAGTTTATAAAATATCTCTTAATTCAGAGTGCCTCTTGGCATAGGCCTCCTCTAGCACTTTCCATTGGGTTCTGTCTCGCACTACCCTTCTCCAGTGATGTCCAGCTGTTAGCCTCAGGTCATTTGCCCATCTTGCTTGTTGGCGTCCTCTGTTTCGTTTGCCATCTCTGGGGTACCAGTCGCAGATAGTTGTACTCCATTTGCCATGCCTGTCCCTAATTATGTGTCCGGCCTATCTCCACTTCATTTGGTATATTCAAATGAGAATGTCAGCAACTTAAGATTTTTCTCTTTTTGTACTACTTCTTATTTTGTCCATCCTCCTTATTCCTGTCATGCTTCTCTCCATGGCCCTCTGACAACGTTCCAGTTTTCTCTTTGGAGTTTGGTGAGTGCCCATGTTTCAAAGCCATAGGTAATGACTAGAAGTATGCAGGTGTTGAAAGCTTTTCTTTTTATAGACATGTTTAACTCACGATTTGACTTCATGATTTCTTTCAGCGACCGGTATTTTTTCCATCCATTTGCTAATCTTCTATTTATTTCTTTAGTTGTTTGTTCTTCATGAGGTTTCTTTTCTTAGGTACATATATTCCTGTACGTATTCTAGTAGTTGATTGTCCATTTCTATAGGTGTTGCTTTAGAGTTTGTGAGCAATTTTGTTTTACTCATGTTCATTGAGAGGCCCACTTTCTTACATTCCACATTAAGTGATTTTATCATTTCTTGTAGGTGTATCGGATCTTCTTCAAACAGGAATTTATCGTCCGCAAATCTTAGGTTGTTTAGTTTAGCACCGTGTATGTTTAGGCTGAAGCCATCCCAGTTCAGTTTGCGGAAGATACTTTCTAAGTCCGCTGAGAAGAGTTTCGGCGACAGAGGGCCTCCCTGCCTTAGGCCCCTCATAATTTTGAACTTTTTTCCTAGGGTTTCTAGTTGTAATCTTGTAGCCGTTTAACGTGTCAGGCGGTCTACTCACCGGCTTACCCAGCGGAGAAATACGCGAGATTACCTCAGGGCGCCTTGTCGAAAACAGAAGGGTGTGCGTGTGGGCAACCTAATGGACTCTTCAGAGAAAGACAACTTACACCACAGTCATACATACATGTATATATCTGACGACCGGATGGCGTAGTGGTTTGTGTAACGGACTGCTATTCCAAAAGGTCGCGGGTTCGATTCCCGCTCAAGTCAAACATTTGTGTGCATGAATATTTGATGTTTGATTTGGTCTGGGTGTTTCTATGTATAATAGGTATGTATTTACAAAAAAAAAGTATATATGTATTTATATCAGTTGTCTAGTACCCATAGTACAAGCTCTGCTTAGTTTGGGACTAGATGGCGTTGTGTGTATGTGGTAAAAAAAAAAAAGAACAATTAAATACAGAGTTACACTTGTTAAATACTTGTTACAGCACTTTTACATGTTAGTCGTACAATAATAGTTATTGATAATGACCCTGATAACCTAGTAAAAGGCCATAAGTATCACATAAATAAATTTTTATACCTATGGTAAGGCCGAACATAAATTTTAGTTTCTAAATATGACCTCTGTCACTATTTCATTCTATGTTCGATTTTTCTTTTGTTTAATTAGCTTTGGTTATCACGGACTATTTCTTTCGTTACTGCAAACTGGTTACGTTATTGAATGGTGGGGAGTACGGCTCTTGAGTGCCCGTAATCTTTACAACGTGGATTATAGACTTATTATTTTTAAGGCAAATGCATTGACCATGATGAAAGACAAAAAAATATTTTTCAAAGAAATTAGAGTATTTTAAATATTTTTCTGTTACGAATATAAGTTGTAATCATTCTTTTCAGAGATTGGCGTGGACTTGCATTTCAAGTAAATTTATCTTCGCGCCTCGAGACATATATTAAGCAACAATATGAAGACAAAACTGCTAAGGTATTGGAGTTATGGCAGCAAACTAATAACTCGGCGACTGTGGGAGAACTTCTGGAATACTTAGAGTGTATAGATAGATATGATGTGGCTGAAGATGTTTACAATGATCTTAGAAAGGCAGTTAGCAGCGGTGAGCTATCAAGTAAGGAACTCATTACTCACATGTGTGTATTATATTAAATGTCGAGATATTAAATACTTAAAGTAGCGTATCGTCATGAACGAGCACCAAGATGGTGCTTTGAGGCGTCGGCCCATGTCGTGCGGTGTTCCGCAGAGGTCTGTTCTTGAACCACTCCTGTGGAACATGGGTTACTAATGGGCCCTTCGAGGTCGCCTCCCTCCCCCCGGGCTTGGCGTTATTTGTTACGCCGATGACACGACTGTTACAGCCTGGGGGGCGGACGAGACCTTGCGCCTAGCCGCCAGGGGCGTCTTTCTGGTGGTCGGGCGCATTGAGGCGCTGGGCTTATGTGTAACTCTGGATAAGACGGATCTCTTGTGGCATGGGCCCCGTCGTGATCGCCCCCCGGCGCCATTGTGGGCAGGCGCTAGGAAAGATACGGATGTCATAACAATAGCAGTTCCTGGACCTCTCCTATTACAGGCGCAAAGTGGCACACCGTGTCGTTTTAGTCGGTCCGATTCCGACACACCACCCCGCCGCAAACACCGGTGACCGGTGACGGCCCGAGAAGGTTTCCACACGTAAAAAATAAGGGCTTGTGTCAAGTTTTCTCTTCTCTTTGCAGTGCTGTGGTCCTGCTTAGTTTACTCCCTTAGTAGGCTCTTACGACACCCACGGTATGAGTAGAGGTGGTTACATTCCGTATTCTTAATCCATCAGCAATACCACACTAAATTACCTTAAATAACAGTAAACTAAAAACAAAAATAATTAACAAATATTTTGTTTAATCGCAGGAAATAGCCAAAACCAAATAGCTATACCAAGTACGGGGTTGAGTACGGAGCCTGATAGTGGTGTGATCACGTACGATGATCGACCTGGGTATGCACAACTCTATGATGCCATGGTGCTGTATGCTGCTGAGGACAAAGACTTTGTCGAGATTATGATGGAGCGGATGACTGACAAGGGTTACCAGGTATACATTCTAATTAAAATATTTGATATTCACTTTCGTGTCACCATTTCCCAAATATCTTAAATAGAGTGAAGACTATATTCTCTTTAGATTCATCAACAGCCTATAACAGTCCACTGCTGGACATAGGCCTCTCCTTAGAAAGGAGGTTTTGGCCTACTATACCACGCTGGCCAGACGGGTTGATATAGGGTTTGTTTCAAGGTTTCCCTATCTTTGCAGTGCTGATGTTCTGCGTTGCTGCCTTAGTCGGCTCTTACGACACCCACTGGATGAATAGGGGTGGTGACATTCCGTATTCTTAATCCGTCACCACACACTTTAGATTAGTAAAATTATTGTAAATGTTAAGTTTCCCATAATCAAAAATATTAAGCAAGTTTGTAACTCTATAAATAACAATGTGAGATAGTATCTTTATGAAAATAAACATTCATTCATTCATTTATATAAATGGTCGTTTCACAGCTATGCACAGTGGACGACCTGCAGGTAGGTCACACGACGCAGTACGCGCCGGTGTCGCGCCTCATCTCGGAGCGCTGCCGCCGCGTCATCCTCGTGCTGTCGCCCGACTTCCTCGACAGCCCCGGGATGAAGTTCTACATGAACTACGCCACCGCTGATGGTATAGGTGAGGACAACTTGACTCTGTTTTACAACTAGCTCGCAATTTTGTTTTCTTCCAACCATCATCATTCATGCTCACTTTTGGCCCAATTGATAATATTAACTGCCACGGTGGTGCAGTGCAGCAGCAGGAGTCGGAGGAAGTTTGGGTGTTTTCTATATATAAATATGTAAGTATTTAACAAAAAATAGAAAATAAGTATTCTATCGGTCAATCATATCAAAAGCTTTCATAGTACAAGCTCTGCTTAGTTTGAAACTAGATAGAGTTGTGTGGCAAATGTCCGAAAATAACAATATTATTATAATTAGTTTCGTTGTCCCCTTCTCTTGTATCCTTTAACTTCTATTATAAATCTCTATCCACAACACATGTCCACGCCATGATAATCTACTAATAGATTCTCTCTAAAATATTCCTACTATCTCAGCACATTTTGGTCAAATGGCCAGAAAGAAGTTGTGGGGGACAAAGGTAGTCTATTCCTTAATCTAATAAAAATAGAGTAACTCACTCATTTTTTTAAATCAGGATGGTATATTCTGTAAAAATGTTGTATGAATTACAAAACTTAACATCTCAATTCCAGAAACGGAGCAACGCAAGATTCTTCCTTTAATGTACCGCAACTGTCAGCTACCCCGGCACTTGTCGTTCTACCACAAACTGTTCTACGAGTCAAACAAGCCACCCCTATACGACTTCTGGAAGAAACTGCAGCAGTCTCTCGAAGTGGCTCGGATGTCAACTGCCCAGCCACAGTACAGGTAAGATAATGTATCCTGTCTTTTACGTTGCCTAGAAATACCTAAGAGTATAATATAATGATGGGGATTATATTACGTACAAAATCGGCAAATATGGATAAGCCTTAAATAATACAATACATAATAGAAAAAAAATTATTACTCTTAAATGAGACAAATCTTGGGTGTAACCAATTAATTTAAGTTATTGAAATCTAAAGGCGAAGATATTGCTAGAGACGATATAAAATTAATAAGTTGAATTAAGAAACCATCCCTTTTGAAGATTTGTTGCGATCTCTTACAAACAATTTTTCTATTGAGTTTGTGAAAACATTTGAAACAATGCATTCCACAGGGTAGACTACAAGAGATTTGGGAAAGGAGTTTGTGGAATGCAAGTATTTTCAAGCGATTATTTTCTGATACTGTCACATAAATTTTATCCCTCATACATATATTTTCAGAATGAACAATCGGATTCAGCAACCTTCACCGCCACAGATAACCATAGATGAATATCCATCAGGCAAGATCCTCAGTGACTACATGGACTCCAATTTATTCCTCCCGAGGCCCGACCTTAGCATATCTCTGCCGGGCTTAAATTCCCTCAACACCACCAATTTGTGCACAACACAAGACTGCCATTCATTAAGCAATGTCAGTCAAGTCAGCGGAGACTCTCACCCCAAAAAGAAAAAGAAGAGTTACTTTAGGAAATTCTTCAGCACATTCAAAGGGAAGAAGTCTAAGGAAGCTATCATGGTGGCTGATTAGTGATAGACACGTACCTTTTGCTGAGCATTTTCTTAGGTCAGTTGCACCAACTTATTATAGCTGTGAAGTTGCAGAAAATTATTCAATCGAGGAGTCTGGGGCACAAACATAATCGAATTAAATCTGGTCGCGCCTCTTTTGTTGTGTTAAAGTTCAGACAACACTCGCAATAGGAATATAACCTGTGCTGCGGTGGACTTTACAAACATTCATGAAACGGATACAAAGAACACCCAAACTCACTATCAGCAGTCAATATAGCTTTCATAGTACAAGTTCTGCTTAGTTTGAAACTAGAAGGCGTTGTGCGTCAGATGTCCGAAAATATTATTATTATTAAAACTAGAAAACATGCAAAAACAAACTGTTGTATTCATGTATGTATATACAGTTTCCAAACTTAACGGTAAAGCCAAGGATAGGATTATATTGAACTTAAGTTGGTGCATCTGAACAATTTTTTATATGGTAGCATATAATTTTTTTATATTGTGTATCATCAGTCCTATCGCTTTTTTGCAACATATGAGAGTGATTTTGTTGATGTAAGGAACGGGAGTGTATAAGCCGAAACGACCGCTGCTAGACTGAACCGACAGTTGGTAGTTTACATGTCAGATGCGGCATATCAAATGCGCTCAATGTCTCGTTCGTATTTTTTTTTGTCAAGTGATATGTTTACAAAATAGATAAATATAAATCCTTTTTATTGAATGGTGCTAATTCTGTTGTTCGAAAACTCTCTAAACTAAACTAAATACCACTAAAATTTTCAAACTACGAAGAATTTCGTAGTTTAAAATTTTTTGGGGTGCAGTTTGACAGGACTAAACGAATTTTTTGTGATTTTTAGTTTATTTTAGAGAGTTTTCGAACAACAAAAATTACCACCTATAAGGAGTGCACTGAAAAACTAGCAACAATCGCGTTTGATTTGCTGTCATTTTTTTTTCAAGAGCTCCGTTGTCTGTCTCCGAAACATCATCAGATCTATATGAAGTTTAAATGGGACCATTTCGAATTAAATACTTTTCGAACAAAAAAAGAATTTTGAAAATCCGTCTATATTATAACAGAGTTAAAAATATATATATATATATATATAAAAACTCCCGAATTGAAGTCGATTAAAAATGAGAAAGAAAAATAGATAAAATAAGAAATATTTTTGATAAAATATTATTTTTATTAGCCTTGGCGCATGACTGTTGTTGTATTTAAGGAAATCTTCAATACAAGATTACTTATCTTGTTTTTATCAGTCAAGTTAATTAACTCAATGCTATCTACACTGATTAACTTTGTGATAAAGAGATATATATGTTAGCAACAAGGTTAAGTGATACCTGTCACAGATAATGGGGTAGGTGAGTGTCAAGTTAAATAAGTAACTTATTGTTAAACGATAGGGTACATTTTTGTATGAAATACTACGGCGCGACGTCATACCTAGCTATTGGTGTTAATTCTGTTGTTCGAAAACTCTCTAAACATCACTAAAAATTAGTTTAGTGGTACTTGAGAGCACTAAAACAATTTTTAGTGATGTTTAGTTTAGAGAGTTTTCGAACAACACAATTAGTACCAGTGTCTAATCATTTAGCCACTAGATCTAGTATTGATTTGAAAATATTAAGACAATAATAACATTAAATTGATAATGGACGAACGATAATGGACAATAAGATTTTAAATTCATTGATACAGGCGAAATATTTTTACCCTATTGTGCTAAATAAAGGATGTAATCACATAAAGGCAAACAGGTAGGCAGGTTCTCTAGTTTCTTAGTGGTGTAGTGGTAGCGTATGCGACTACTATGCTGAGGACTCAGGTTCGATTCCCGGGTCGGACCAAATGTTTGTATGATCTGTAAATACATGTGTGTTTACAAAAAAAAAAGTTTATAAGTAAATCTATCTTTCATAGTACAAGCTCTGCTTAGTTAGAAACTAGATATCGTTGTGTGCCAATGTCCGAAAATATGATTATTTTAGGTGTTACGTAATATATTAAAACGATTTGGCAATAGTAAGGTATGACGTCATAATTCATTACTTTATGGAAGAGTTTAACAGAAGGTACTATTTTGACGTTTTATAAAGAGATTGATTTCACTTGACAGCCTTATACCGTATTGTAGGATACAGAAGTTAAGAACTCCCATTTCTGAAAGAAATTCAAAGTAACTTACAACACAACAGTACTTCGATATTACACTCATGTTCTAAAGACCCTTTTTAACATGAATATTCTTAATTAAAGAAGAGAAGAAGATACCCTTGTGTTCCACTGTTTGCTCACCCCCGTTTCTAAACATACTATTCTAGTTACATTTATTGTTACTACGCCTTTATATTAAGTTGTACTATAAGAATAGAATATTTTATGTCGTTAAGACTAAGATCAAATGCACAGAGATTATATTTTTTCCAATTTTTATTGCCTTCTAAAATGAGATATTGTAGATCAAGGAAGTATATTTTTTATAAAAAATGTGATCAATTTATATTTAGTGTTATGTATGAATGTATAAGTAAATATTGTTATTTTGTATAAAATGCAAATTATGGATTTTAAATTTAACTTAAAGGCCTTCAAAAGGTGATGCCCACGAAATTTCACAGTAACATAATTTTCTCCATTCGGAATAATCAATTATTTCGAACTGGTTGTGATAATAACTTTCTTTCGTTGTCATATTAAAGGTTTTTGATACAATTTTCTTTGATTGTTGACGCCTAAAATAACTTCTTTGTTGACACTGTCGTTATTGGCAAAACTCATAAAATTATTGCGCCTATTACATTTAAATCAGCATTTATCTGCATTATTGGTAAAACGGTATTGATATTTTAACAATTTTAGCAATACCTAATATAGCTTACAGTTTACCCTAAGTTGCAAGCATGTTTCATCGAGAAATTTTCTCCTTCAAATACTGGTTTTGAGTAACTACCCGCAATTAGTTTTCTTTACATAGTGCTATTGCAAAACAAATGTATTATTTTTGTTTTGTTTAAGAGTATATTGTGTCGATGTTTGGTATAAAAATGGTTGATCTTTGCCGATAATTACTCTATGGTACGACAAAACATCACGTAATAGGTGTAAGTTCTCATGGTGCCTTTATGTAAATATATGAAATATTTAGTTAATTGATATTTTATTTATAACAGAAAACTTGCACAAAAGTTTGCTAACTTTACTTAGTATGCTATAGAAATGACCTTTATCCTAATATCGTTCTTTCCAAGTAATTACTTCTCCTGGTGAAAGAGGTCTGACGCTTACGTGAGAGTTGATTTCACATTAACTTGGCCGTCATGGTTACCGCGTTGCGCTCGCTGTCGAGACCGAGTTAATGTGCATTAGGCTTTCTGTACTGCTTAGTTGTTTGAGAATGGTCTGCTAACACCCGATTAAATTGTGCATGGGAGAGCCATGTACAGTAGGTAGTTTCGTCTCGACCAGAGCACGGCTTCGCAGAAAACAGAGGGCCAAGTGCGAGTTTATTTCGCTTCTACTCGATCGTCACTGTGACCGCTTTCGACGCTGCGATTCGCTCGCGCTGAAATCTCCACCAATCGCAACATTAAACGCGCTCGCTCGAGTCAATGTGAAATAAACTTGCACTCAGCCCTCTGGTGTTAAGCAGTTCATTCGTTGCTTTTCACCGAGTGAGTGAGGTCACAGAAGCCTAAACCTCTCAAGGGGAGGGGGGGGGAGAACTCAAAGAACGACAACGCTGACTTGAATTGCAAATGTCCATGGGCGGGGGTACTCACTCGCCATCAGGTGACCCGTCTGCTCGTTTGCTCTCCTACACCATAAAAAAAAAGAAAATACAAAGAAGTTCCCAGTGCAGTAGCAGCTGTTGCAGTACATTAGATTTAAATCCCTTTGTAGGTATTATAGAGATTCAGTTGCGTGATCTAAGTGGCATGCAATGGGAGAGGCCTATGTCCAGCAGTGGACGTTGCGTTAGTCGAAAAGGGTTTGATCTGGTGATATAATCATTCGAGTAAGAGTATGAATATTACAAGATGGCAATGATGCAGAAGAATTTCTTGATGGCTTTATAAGTAAAGCATCTGTTTCTTAGTTAATAAGTATGTTTGCAAAATTAGTTAGACTATATTCAATTCGTATGAGTTCTATTCACAGAGTACTTAATTAGTATTAGTACTTAATTTCCAAAAGAACGGTGTCGGCGCACCAAAACATGTAGCCTATCTCGGTTGCGAACCATCGGAGGCCGGCCGGTGCGGGGATCTCAGCTCGCCGCCTCGTACGCCGCGGTCCTCTCACTACTTGGCCCTTAGAGGCGTTCCGCTAATGCTTAGAGGCATTTCTTTATGTTTATTTTACCAATATACAAAGAGAAGGAAAACTTGACACAAACCCTATACCAACCCGTCTGGCCAGCGTGGTATAGTAGGCCAAAACCTCCGTTCTACGGAGAGGCCTATGTCCAGCAGTGGCCTGTTAAAGGCTGTTGATGATGATATTTATTTGAAGTCCCTTAACGGCCTATTCAAACGGAGTACCGCCCCTCCAGAGACCAGTAGGTAGCAGATTTGTTTGCCACCTGAATGATGTCAAAGAGCAGTTATAAAAGAGGAGAGATAATTAAATATATATTTATTACTAATGTATTAGAACACTGTATATCCTCACAAAGTGGTCGGTGCCGCAGCTTGCCAATAACATCTTGTCTTCATCAGTCGGCTTGAACATCAATCTCTTCACCGTTAGGTGATGAGCAAAGCTGGAACAGAAATATTAATTGAAAACATTTGACTTTTTCAAACAGTCGCAAATAAAAGAAAACATTAGCAGTATGGAGTTTATTTTTATAAATAATTATGTTAAATTTTTCAGGTTTTTGTTTTGCTATTCTATAAAAATTCTAAACAGGCATATGTCAGCTGAGCGGTGGTACGAGGGGTGATCAATAAGTAATGATAATCGAGTATTTCTAGAACGCACAAAAACCCAAATTATTTTTTTTCTGCTTGCTTATATATCCACTACTTCAGCTTCAAAAAAATGTATAAATAGGACACCATTACCGGGAGATACATTCATTTGAATACGAACTGTCGAAGAGAAAACATCAAAATGGAGAAAAATGAAATGAGAGCTGTCATCAAGTACCTCTGCCTGAAAAAAATGTCTACCAAAGACATACACAGCGACTTAGAGGAAACATTGGGGGAGTCTGCTCCTCCATATTCCACAGTCGCACGCTGGGCAAAGGAATTTAAGCTGGGCAGAACCTCCACTGAAGATGAACATCGCGAGGGACGCCCTTCCACGTCCCTTACTGGAGAAAACGTCAAAAAAGTGGAAGATATCGTGTTGGCCGATAGAAGGGTGACCGTAAGGCATGTAGCTGAGGTCACAGGGATCTCCTATGGCAGCGTTCAAAAAATCATTGTCAACAAAATGCATATGAAAAAGGTCTCTGCGCGTTGGGTACCGAGAATGTTAACCGACGAGCAAAAAAAGAAACGAGTCGACATTTCGAGGGTGAATCTTCAAAAGTGCCAGGCCGATAAAGAATTTTTTTTGTCGCGTTTTGTGACCATGGACGAGACCTGGATCCACCACTTTGATCCTGAAACCAAACAACAATCAATGACTTGGAAACGAGCTTCCTCACCAACGCCGAAGAAATTCAAAGTGTCAAGTTCAGCGGGAAAGGTTATGGCGTCTGTTTTCTGGGATGCAGAAGGAATTATTATGGTGGAATATTTGGACAAGGGGGCCACTATAACAGGCTCTTACTACGCAGGCCAAATAAGAAGATTGCGAGAAGCTATTAAGTCAAAAAGACGCGGTAAACTGCGCGCTGGAGTGCTGTTTCACCAAGACAACGCCCCGGCTCACAAAGCCGCAGTTGCGATGGCTGCCATTGAAGAAACGGGGTTCGAACTGCTCGAACACCCTCCCTATTCGCCAGATCTAGCTCCCAGTGACTTCTACCTCTTTCCTCGGCTCAAAGAACACCTCCGGGGCAACAAATTTGAGGACAATAGTGAAGTGATGGCCGCAGTAGAGGCATTTTGGGAGGGTCAAGACAAAGAATTTTTTTCTAAGGGAATCATGGGCTTAGAAAAAAGATACACTAAATGTATTAACTTGCAAGGAGACTATGTTGAAAAATAAAATACTTTTTTTAATCTAATAGTTCTGTTTCATATTGATTATCATTACTTATTGATCACCCCTCGTAAGCGGTTATCGGTGGCTGTGTAATCTACCAACGTTAGCTATACCACTCCTCTGCTACTGACTCATTCCGCCCTCTGAAGAGCTCTATCTTTATGGAGCACTGTTTAGGCGCGGAATTTTGTACTCCTTTCAAATAGAAACCTCGTTTCCTAGTTGTTATGTATTTATTGTTGTGTGTTTATGTTATTAATGTTTTACTAGTTCTGAGAAATAGTTGTAATTAGTCTTAAATGAATAATTGTACAATTTAATACTAAAAATATAAATTTAAAAGAAACTTGAAGGGCCTATGGACCCTCGGTCGGAATAAAAAATTAGAAAATGGTCACGGCACGACTGTAGCACGGCTATAGCAAGAAGTGTCGGCAAAAAATCTTGTTACACATTTTTAGAGTGTAACGCGCGATAAGTAACTTTTTTTCAATATTAAGACAAACACTGCTGTTTTTAACATAAATTTTTCTTATATAAAAAATGGACTTGGAACAACAACAAATATAGTGACACTTACCTGTTGTCAAGTTCCTTCAACAATAGCCACCCATTGCTGCCGTACCTCAGTAGCCGGACGAGGCCGGTGTCGAGCCCCAGGGCGAGGGTGAGCCCGCGCGGGGCGAAGGCCAGCGCCGTGACGGCCGCCTCCGCCTCCAGGGGTGCACCCAACAAACCGTAGTCTTTGAGGGATGTATTTGTTGCGTTGCCTTTTGTCCAGAGACACACCTGAAAATAAACAAAATATCAAAAACATATTTTCAGTGTATATGACTTCAGACAAATGTCCATCGAGCAAAGAATATTAATTTAAAAAAAATTAACAGATACTACACATACATAGCACAGCTGTATACTATAATAATAACTTTCTTCCTTGTAGATACCCTATGACCTCACCCCATGACCTCAAGCTGAGCACTTGGAAACACTAAGCAACTAGAATAGGGCAATATTTTTAAGTTAACCGTTAAAAATTCAATTTTATACTTAAACATATTCTTTCTTATTATAAAAACTTCTATAAGTACTAGGTTTAAACCAGGACTAAAAGGTCTAAGCTTATTACGGTACTAACGTTAGTTCTTTCATTCGTATTACAAATCGTAGACCAACAAAGGACTACTTAGTACCAAAGATCGTCTCTGGTCTAAATATTTTCCACAGATTATAAGCAACAAAATATTTAAATTATTCATTCATTCGTTCAGCGTTCTACGCGCCTTTCCTTTTTAACAAAATGTTGTTACGAAATATAAAGAAAAATATTTTATGAATTGTTATTTGTAGGGGTAAAATTTAAAGTTTTGTTATTTAAAGGTATTTAAATATTCCGACTTGTATTTTTTTGAATGCATGTTCACAATCCAATTATTAATGTTATGTTTTGGAACAACTACCGAGCTAGCACGTATGAGTATAACGGAGTGAACTGGACGGCGCGCGTAATTCGAGTAATGTAATCGAAATGTTTAGGTGTTTGGTGATGCAGTGGTAAGTAAAAGTTAACAATAGTGGAGAGTATAATATGATGACAATTTACTAAACATTTACCTGTTACTGATGACAAATACAACAACAACAATATTTGAAGACCCTGATGCTGGCCATAGCTCAATAGAACCAATTGTAGTGATTATAAGTGATGAAAATGTAGAGTCCAGTATTGAAGAAAAACAAGGTATAATAATTTCATAATAAGAAAAAATACAGGTTAGTTTTATTAATATTATTTATTATTTTCAGTGATCTACACCAGTGAAACTGTGCAAACCAAAATATATTTTATTTCAATCAAGGCACCACGAAAATATAAATAAAGCTTACCACACTAAAATAATAAGTCTAATTATTACATAATAATATAGAATTTATTTTACAGAAATGAAAAAGGGTGTCAAGCTATTATAAATAGTAATACAGAATTTAAAAAAAAAAGGAGCTTGATATGTTGGAAGCCCAGCACTTCTATCAAGTTGAAATATCAAAATTAAAAATTAAAAAGCTACAATTACAAATAGCACTATTGGAGACTCAGATAAAAACTAACACCATTACTAAAGAATAAAATGTAAGTTACACTTTTTGACTGATATCAAAACAATTTATAATTAAAATAAGTATAAATTGTTGAGTCAAGAGTTTCAAATAAATAACTAATGTAATCTATCTCCTATTGAATAAAATAGTTCAAATATATTGACAATCACATAATAATAGAACATAATTATTTTCAGGTTATATATTCCCCATAATAATCATTAGTATTATAGGACTGATTTTATCATTTTCTTAAAGATAAAAGTTACTTTTAATTTATGTTTGATTTATTAATAATTATCTTTATGAAAAAAGGATCATTAGCTTTTATTTTAGCATTCATATAATACATGTATTAAACATATACATATATGAATATCACAAAAAAAAAAATAGTTATATATAATAAATGTTATTTTATGAAAAGTGAGTTTCAATAAACTGCCTTCTAATATTCCCTCGTAGTGAATTTTGAACTGGCTGCACTGATATCATCTATTACTGTAACTGTACTGTACTGTACTGTACTGTACGCCATGTAAGTCACTAGTATCGTCTTGAATCTGTAAAAAAAACAATTATAAAGTAATACATCATTGATGACGCACATTAGCCATAATTACATTGCTAGGTACCAACTTACTTCATGGCGAGCCCAGTTGCGTAGTGCGCAAGCTACTTGCATTTCGGGGCTTAACGGACATCCTCGAGGATCGTGGGATAAATCCTCACGTAATAAATCGACAATCCTTTCGCGAAAACGTTTACTAAATCTATATTTATATCGAAAATCTTCATCAGGTAATTCAAATGGACTTCTACGCTGACGAACTCTGTTCGGTCCCCGGGAACTTTCTAGTATATCCAACACATTCAAATCTTCCAAATCAAACATATCAATTGCATCAATATCCATTTTTTGGTTTCTGATCACAAATTCCTTTCCGAAAGCGAACCTCAAAATTAAGAATTTGACGTTTGACAATTTAGTACCATAGTTAAACTAGGGGTCACGATGGTCTAACTTTGATACCATAGATAGTTCTAGGACTAGCGATAAACTTCGTTTTGTAATAACGTTTATTCAAGGTCATGGTTTAAACCTAGTACTAAAGCCGGTACTTTTTTAAGTCCACGTTTTATAATAAGACGGATTAGGTTTTGACAAGTGACGTCACGAATTTAGGACCCCTCCCACACCTTGTCACACTTCGTCGACCTTTCCCCTCCTTAATTTGTGACGTATTTCATTGATGGCTCCTGCCTAACATCAAGAGTAACCGAAAATGTCAGTTCTCACATATTCGTTTTAAGCAATCAAGTAAATATGTGCTTGGTTTGACCATTGGTGCTAATCCTGTTGTTCGAAAACTCTCTAAACTAAACGAAAAATCACAAAAAAAAATCCTTGACCCTATCTTTAGTGTGTGCATCGATAAGATGCATTAAAGGCACAATTTAGCTCACCTTCCCATCTCTCGACCCAGTACCAAAGACTTTCCCATCGAAACTCCACGCACAGCACCAAATAATCCTGCTGTGGACTCCGTTGGTTTTGTCTGTGGCTGACACTATTTCGAAAGAATTTGAATCTTGTGCTCGTTGGTATAAGGTCCATCTCCGGTCGCGCGATACTGAGAGTAGTCGTTGGCTGTCCGGTGAGAACGCTAGCTGCGTTATCGTGAGCTGATGGGATATTAACTTTTGTGTTTGTTGCCAGGTTTTTGTCTCCCTGTAAAAGATTTTAGTATTTCATTTTGTGGGCACCATTACTTATAGAATTACTATAATAATATGAAAGTACTAGCTAGGTAAAAAGTAGCCTACGCTACTCTCTGATAATGTAGCTTTCTATTGGTGAAAGAATTTTTAAAATCGGTTTAGTGGTTTAACAAACAAACTGTTTTACAAAAAAAAAACTTTTTTTAAAGGTTTTCTAGGAACCGAAATTACTCCTATTATTCCCGTTAACCCCTCCAGCTAAGCTAAGTTAACTTGTGTTAGGAGTAGGTTTACGTCGGTAGTGTACTGGTCAGGATTCGAACCCACGACCTCTTGATCGCAAGTCCAATACGTTACCTACTGCCTAGTAGGTACCGCCGCATCTATACAAATAAATAAAATTGGAGTGTCTGTTTGTAATATTAAAATAACCGCTTTTTACTAAATGCATATGTATGTTTACAGGGTACATATGCCAAAATAACATTTTTTACAATTTTTGACTGTCTGTTTGTTCCGGGTAATCTCTGGAACGGCTGGACCGATTACGACGGGACTTTCACTGGCATAAGGTAGCTAGCTGATGACATAAGGAGCAACTAAGGCTACTTTTTTTAGACTAGCTTCGCCCCGCGGCGTTGCCCGCGGTTATAACAACAAACGCGGGTCTCAGCTAGTATAATATAAGTGTGGAATAGAGAAAAGTTTGGTCATATTTCCATGTACACTATAGTAGGTAGGCAGGCGATAGGCGCATTCTTCTTTTTTCGAGCGCCTGCCTCCCGCCCCCTCCCGGTCCCCGTTCTCGTCTTACCTCCGCGCCCCTGTACCCCGCGGGCAAGGACTCAACTAAGCGGTTGATCAAATTAGTAAATCAAAATTAACTAGAATTCATAGAATCAATTAACTAGAAAATTAATCGATAAATCTAATATTTTGTGAAAGAGCTGATATAAATGAAACTATGGGACTTTGCTAAATTGTTTGTCGGCATAAAAATAAAATTATTGAAATTAAAACGTGTTATATAGACATGCGTACAACATTCCGAGGAAAAATAATAATTCTAAAGCAAAATCAACTATACGTCGGGTTAACATAACGCTCATTTTAGCATACCTTTTTGTAATACTGATATGTGCTTAGCCAATTATTTTGGAACAAAAGGACGGTGATGGCTAAGGTGTCGGACTTGTGATCCAGGCGTGTCAAGTACACCACCAATGTAAACCCACTTTTAACGCTAGTATTACCTTTATCCGTGGAGTGTACTGTTAAAGGCTGTTGATGATGATGATTGATGAACACTAGTATTTAATTTTATAACACATCGCATCAACAGCCTGTAATAGTTCACTGCTGGACATGGGCCTCTCCTTAGAAAGGAGGTTTTGGCCTACTATACCACGCTGGCCAGACGGGTTGGTATAGGGTTTGTGTCAAGTTTACCTTCTCTTTGCAGTGCTGTTGTGCTGCATAGTTTGCTCCCTTAGTCGGCTCTTACGACACCCACAGGATAAATAGGGAAGGTGTGTTTAATTTAGATGACATAAAGTCTGTCTACGAACCATATTAAAACAGCAGCGTGTTCAGCCGTGGTCGCTTTACAAGCGGAAGCAATTAGCGATCCGTCCGGGCTGGCGTCTAATGCGAACACCTCGTAACCGTGTCCGTATAGCTTGTGTATCTCAGGCCACAGCGTGTTCTGCATCAGCGTCTCTTCTGTCGGGGGTTCTATACGTGGGTAGTTTTAGAATTAATATTTTCTTATGAATAATTAAATTTAGGTCACTTTTTTTTTTCTGTGCTGAAATCCCCTCGGATACCAACCGGTGGCTATGTCGGATTCGAACCGACTAAAAACAGCACGCCGTCTCGGTTACTAGTAGCCGGCGAACCAGGTGTACCCTAGAAAGGAAATCCCTGGTACTCGACGTACCTCGGGTCATCTACGGCGTGTAGATAACCCCCTCCTGTGTAGGAACCCCCATGTTATGCTCCCGCCACCCCGGCCTGCTTCTGCTAGGGCGACAGATGGCCTCACCTGTCACCCCCAGGCCTGCGCTTATGGAGGACGAAGGTCGTTCTGCGACCTCCAGCTCCTGAGTCGCCGAGGGAGAGTTCTAAACCTCTCCCGGTCCCGCTCGGTAAGTGGTAAGTGACTATCGTTGCCCACGAACATCTGGCACTCAGAAGTCGCAAGTACACTCAAAAATTAAAATATCTTTATTGTACACCGCTACAGTATATATTGTACAGACATGGACGTGTGTAGGACGGAAGGGGGAGGGGGGGTCGCCCCGCAATCAAAGGGCGGCAACGAACTTGAGTTGCAATTGATCATGGGCGTCGGCAGTCACTTACCATCAGGTGACCCATTTGATCGTTTGTTCCATAAACATATGCTTTATTGTGTTATGGCATTCTAAATAAATATGGAATCTAAAGTATTGCATTTTGTGATATAAGTGTTCACCTGTCATATCCACGGGAACGAAATACCCATCGTTCTCATCACCGGCGTCGGTTTGTTCGTCTTCGTTCATGAACACCGCCTTATTGGATAAACCCAGGGATGGCACTGACGCACCTTCCGGACCTGAAACAAACATGTAGAAATCAGGGATGGAATAAAATCACAATCACATTTGATAAATCATATGATTTATAAATCGTATCACTGGGACTGATTTACAAAACCAGTGCAACTTAATTATTATTATTACGCTATCGCAAGACTCGCGAAAGGTCTCAAAAAATAAAAGGTAACGACCTTTTATTTTTCCTTTTTTCGACCTTTCGTGAGACCTTCGACAAAAAGACTTTTGATTGATTTTAATGCCATTTATCTTGGTCTGTGATGAAATCACAATCACATGTCAAATAGCTGTGACAGATGCAAATCATTTCTTGAATGAATATGATTTAAAAGTAGCAATAATTTTCAGGTTTAGCAGCAAAATATTTATGTATATTCGCCATATCTAATCTAATGTAGTTTACCAAACTCTTATGAATACGAAAAATTTTATACTTTGTCTTTGTACCTACCGCATCATATTTCTACATCACCTGAAGGTCGACTGAGAGAGAATGCTTCAAAGCAAATCCACCTTTGTACAACATATGCATTAAGTTTTAAATAAATGTAACATCTTAAAGTACAGCACGAATGACTATTCATGCTGTACTTTAAAATGTTAATTATCAATTTAACTACATTAAAATTATTTGACATTAGCTAGGTGTGACGTCACGCGTTAGTATTTTATACAAAACCTCTATGGTTTTGACATTTTTAGTAAAAAGATACTGATTTGACTTGGGAGTCTCCCTCACTCCTCTCAACGCTTAAAATAGGGTCTCTTATATTCTTATGTTTATTGGTACACGACTTTACCACATCTATCCTGGCTATCTCCCTTTATAACTTGACCGACGATGTTCTGGAAATTCTGGACGAAATTGTGCGGCGCTCGAAACACTCTGATGACCTTCTCTTCGGCCGCGGACACGAATGTGGTGCTGTTGATGAGAGCTACCGAGGCCATGTCGTACCCGTGGACCTGGGGGCGGGCGATCTCGTGCCATTCTGATCCTATGGGGAGAAAATTTACAAGTAAGTTATAAAAATTGAGCTCGTGGCACGTCTGGCAGATGTGAAACATCGAAATTATATTGTAGTAATAATGAGTGTTTATGAACAGACAGAGTCGGTGCGGTGTGGCAACACGTCGCCATGCGCAAGCCATGGCGACGTGTTGCCCCATGTTACATATAATATCACATAGTCGTCACGCCAACAGTTTCACATCAAAACTTCTGTGAGTGGAGTTGATATATTTTCAAGACAAATTAGTGTGGCGCCAGACACCAACACAGCAGTCGCTACATACCATGATATGGTATCCCTGTCGGATCTGGGGCAGGTCGAGTTTTTGAAATATTCTTTAGGTTACCTATAGTTTTGTTAACTAACGTAAAATTGAGTGACGGATTAAGAATACGGAATGACACTACCCCAATTCATCCCGTGGGTGTCGTAAGAGCCGACTAAGGGCGCAAAACAACGCAAGACACCAGCACTGCAAAAAGAAGGAAAACTTGACACAAACCCTATACCAACCCGTCTGGCCAGCGTGGTATAGTAGGCCAAAACTTCCTTTCTAAGGAGAGGCTTATGTCCAGCAGTGGACTATTAAAGGCTTATTAAGATGATGATGATGACTTGCCTGATACAAGCTATTCATCATCACTTAATACGTAGCAGTTTTATTTACCATGTGTCGTATTCCAAGGCGCGTGTACTCTTGAAGTCTGGTCAGCGGAGACGCTCATAAGGTATCGTCCATGATGAGGCTCCCATCTTATATCCTCTACAGCACTGAAGTGACCTCCGCATACCACTGATGGATGCCACTGGTTTGTTTCCTGCAAGTTGTCGATGACTAAAGGTATTTTTTTATTTGTATTTATTATAAAAATAAATAAAATTGAAGTGTCTGTTTGTAATGTCAAAATAATAGGTTTTTTTCATGCTCGCACGGCTTGATCGATTTTGATACTATTTTACTACTAAAGTCGTCACAAAATAAGAAGCCCGTTTTGACGTTTCTCATTTGACATGCCGCGATAACTTTGTATGAACGTCTGTGTAAGAAATTGAAAAATCAAATTCATAATCCTATTTAATTACTATGTTACCCATACACTATCACAACGCGTATCATAAATAAGCATCAAGTTTAACTTTACATTGAAAAAATGCACTCAAAAACACGAATTAATCGTTGATTAATATTCCGACAGGACTTTACTACAATGTCATGTCTTTGGGTTGGTTGCCGTAGTGTTGTAACCGTTAAAAAGCCGTTTTATGGCCGAATAAAATAGAGTTTCTGAAAATCGTTTACAAAAATTACATTAAAAAAAGAGATAAATGTGTAATTAGTAATTTAATATTTAAACATATAAAAACAAAATCTGATCACATATAGTTTTAGCTTTATTTTGATATTTAATATGAATATTTTGATATTATACTAAATGATTTGGTTAAAAAACCCGGAGAGGACTCCGGGTTTTTTAACCTGTCCGACTGCTATCGCGTACCGTACTACACCACTAAGGCCGCGATTTCCAAATTACACGCGAACGAAGTCGCGGGTACCAGCTAGTTTCATAATAAAATTACAGTCAAACTTGAGAAAACAATTACATCTGGATTAAGAATACGGAGTGTCACTGTGGCGACTCCCACATAAACATACTACAGCGCCATCTAATGAAAACACACCGAACTACGGAGTAACTACTAAAATAAGAATTGCTAATCCTGTATCGCGATATAAAGAATTCCCTCGCCGATTAGCATATATACAACTTCCCAACATCAACCGTGGGGCCGCGGCCCGCTAGGCATGATCACCTCGCCTGGTCGGAAGACCCTTTGTGTTGGAGGGACACCCCTATTCATCCCGTAGGTTTCGTAAGAGTCGACTAAAGGAGCAAACTACGCAGGACAACAGCACTGCAAAGAGAAGGAAAACTTGAAACAAGCCATATACCAACCTATGTGGTAGTAGGCCAAAACCTCTTTACTAAGGAGAGGCCTTGTCCAGCAGCAAACTGGTTTTTAGGCATAGGTATCGTGTAAATAACCGTGTGAGCATGAAAGATACCTATTATTTTGACATTACAAACAGACACTTATATTTTATTTATTTGTATAGATAAATTACACCCAGACACAGAACGAATGTTCGTGCTCATTACACAATATATGTCTTGGGTGGAATCGAACCCATGAACTCTGGCTTAACAGTCAGGACCGCTAACCGCTAAACCAACATACCAGTCTAGAATACAGATAGATGTAGTAGTGTTGTCAGCACGGATGGCGTAGTAGTTTAAACAGTCACCTCGCCGCTTCACACTGCGCTAAGTGTTGTGGGTTCGATCCCCACATGGGACAACACTTTGGGTGTCTGTGAGTCCCCCCTTAACGCAGGAGGAAGTTGTTTTGAAAAGAGTTAATTGGCAATATTAATAGAACCAGTTTGGGGCATGGTTCAGCTCGACATGGTTTAATTCAGAGAACTTGTAGGAAGTAGTAGAACCGGTTCAAGTTTTTACTAGAGTTTGAATAAGAGAGAGAGAGAATATAATAATAGGCATATTAATAGTAAAACTAACCTTATCATACTTCCAAATGTGGAAAGACCCATTGTATCCATGCCCCATAAACATCTTGCCCTCCGGTCCAAACTTGCTACCGTAGAAACCAAGTCCATTGCCACCAACCTCCCCAACTCTGACTCGCTCAACCCAGGCACCTTCGCCCTCCCCTCTTTCAGGAGACGATTCCGGTTCCCAGATGATGAGTGTTTTGTCGAGTGAGGAGGATAGAAGGCGGTAGATTGGTTTTTTGTTTGACTCTATAAGAGAGATAAATTTGTTGTTACGCTGTGTGTTGTGATGGAATAGGCCGGCTCGACCTGAGTGATACCACGGCCTGATGATAGCAATTCTTTCGTTGCCTTTCACTGAGTGAGTAAGGTTATCGGAGCCCAAATCCCCGCTCCCGCTGACTCGAGCGGGAGGGACTCCAAGGGCGGCAACGCACTTGTGACTCTAGAGTTGCAGGTGTCCATGGGCGGCGGTAGTTGCTTACCATCAGATAACCCGTCTGCTCTTTTGCCCCCTTATACTATAAAGAAAAGAGTATGTTTGTAACGCATTACAGCTTTAACTACTAATATATAGGTGGTCGTAAAATACATACATTTTATCATGGGTACAGCAAGAATAGCTCTATTTATTAATTAACTTACTCATATGAATCGATTTCAGATATGCTATGATTAAAGACGTGACGGTGTGGTGACGGATTAAGAATACAGAGTGTCACCACCCCTATTCATGCCGTGGATTTCGTAAGAGCCGACTAAGGGAAAAAAACTACGGAGAACAACAGCATTGCAGAGAGAAGGAAAACTTGACATAAACCCCATACCAACCCGTCTAGCCAGCGTGGTATAGTAGGCCAAAACCTCCTTTCTAAGGAGAGGCTTATGTCCAGCAGTGGACTGTTAAAGGCTGTTGATGTGATGATTAAAGACGTGATGGGGGCGTAAAACTTCCCGTTGGACAAGTGCCTGTAATAATCGGTAACCAAACATTATGATTTATTAATAATCAAAGATTCAAGAAGTATTAAATACAAATCCACTCGCGAATAGATACGTAGGGCTTCAGGTACATTTTTCATAAAATTATTATGTAAAAGTGTATTTACTTCCTTGGGTTTGCACTACCCTTAAACGAAATACTGGCTAGGCGCTTGGCCATGAATCTCCTATGTAGTTCCTCCATTAATGAAGGTTGGTTTCCTTACCTCCAATAGGACACGGTTGCCAGTGGACACCATACACCCATCCTTCATGTCCCGCCAATACAGCATCCAGTTTTACAGTCCATTGCTGACCGTAAGCGCTGAAAACCTTCTGTTCTACCCTAATGTCTTTAGAAGGGGCTTCTTCAACGTGCTTTTGTATTCTCCATAAACGGATATAGGTGTCCTGGGAAGCTGATGCAAGGATGATTGACGAATTATCTGTAATGAATGATAAAAACAAATGAATTTCATCGCGGTAAGGATTGCAACATTCTCTACGCTTTTCTGATCTGAAGATATTCTGAAGGTTGCAAAATATCTGCTTGCACGTAAACCCGTATTTAAATCTTGTAGTACTATTACCACTTGATTGTATTTCAAAGAAGCTGGTGCCCGCGACTGCGTTCGTGTGGGATTTGAAAAGCACCGCCTTAGTGGGTTCAATGCCCGCACCGGGTAAAATTGTATAGCCTAAGTTACTCCTTATATAGACAGATACCTGGTAGTTATCAAAAACGGTAAAGCCGTTTTGAAGATTACCCGGAACAAACAGACACACAGACAAAAAATATGTAATATAATATGGTTCTTAGGCATAGGTATCGTTCAAATAACCGTGTGAGCATGGAAATAACCTATTATTTTGACATTACAAACAGACACTTCAATTTTATAAATTTGTTTAGATGTTACTTCCTGCGTCCTCGTTGGTAAACAACCGTAGCCACCTCGCATTTAGAAACCAATTACGACAAAGGGGAAATCTCCTAAATACAGAGAACGTAATTTAGCTGCATGGTATCTAGTGGCCCTCTGAGCTAGTCTAGACGTAAGTCGGGATTTTTTTTGTGTGGTTATGTTCTATATAAAATTATTTGGTGAATTTGGCACGCGAGCACAGGCTACAGCTGTAAGTAACCAAATTTTCAATGATATTAAATGATTCTTCTAGCCTCTTTTATAAGTAAACGCTACACTATACTTCTGTCAAATAGATCTTGATTAAATATTACCGTGCAAAGACCTGTTGATAAATAAGCGTGAGAATATTTATTGCGCGATACAGGGACAGCAGTTATTGTGCAGTTCTCCCCATTTATCTTCTGCAGGTAATTTTTATTTGGGTAGTCGGCCAATCTGTTGCATCGTGCCATTTACAGAACATGTGTTTTTTTCAAGAAAATGATGATTAACTGAGATTATTTTAACTAAATAACGTTCGGTGATAAGCTGTAGGTACAGCTGCTTCATCAGCTACCAGCTGTATCAACTTTATTGAATCTTCTGGAGTTTTTAGTGTGTATATAAAAAAGTGCAAGAATCGCGCAAGCGAAAATGCGGCGAAAATGCGGAAAATTAGGCTTTAATGTTATTTTTACTATAAGCCAACTCATTTATTAAGCATTAAAAGTGAACCAACGTGTGCTATTTCTGTGACATTAAATAAACAATAAAAACATTATTTTCTATGATCACATAAAGTTAGTTAGGCAGTGTTTCTGTTGCACATTTTTTTTGTCCTTATGGCAGATTAGACCAAAAAAATCATTTATTTAATAGCGAAAAGGAAAACGAGGTTGAAGTCGGAGACAAAAGCTAGTAATACATAAAAATTCCCACTCACCCACATCCAGGACATCAAGTCCACGCACCCAATCCTCATGACCTGCCAATGTGTGCACTTTCTGATAGTCTTCACCAACAAATACATGTATCTTGTAATCATCCAGTGCACAGAACAATATTGGTTTCTCAATCGTAGGTAGTATGTGTGCGTGGAGTGTGAGACAGAGACCAGAATTTAATGATATAGTTTGCTTAAGTGCTGTTATACCTGAAATTGTTAAGGCATAAATATGTATATTCCTTCTTCTTTTAGCATCTCGGTATATAAGGGAAATAGAGCACACAACCAATACCAATAAGGGTGTATTAAATCCTCAAATTCTCATACTCAATAATATATTATATATTTAAGGCCAGCTGCCCACTATGAGTTTTAAGATACTGGATAAGAGACCTTACGCCACAGCATTTTAACATAACATTTTTTTCAGCATACACAAAACTGCAACAATGTCGACTAGCTTCAAAATGTACGTCGTTTTAATTAAATAGTAAGCTCGTAGTGCGCATCTGGCTTCATCATCATCAAAAGCCTTTAACAGTCCACTGCTGGACATAGGCCTCTCCTTAGAAAGGCTTAAGTAAGCAAAAATAAACACACCATTTCTCCTCTCCCAAACTTTAACGTTAGTATCAATAGATCCAGTATACACTAACAGATCATCTTCTCCAATATAAACACCATGGATGCATGTCACTCCATCCGCATGACCGATGAGAGTACTAGTCACTCTCCATTCGCCCTTATCTAGAGTCCATATGGCAGCAGTTTTATCTGCTGAACCTGAGATGAATTCTGTGCAAGTGCCATCGGGTTTATGGAGCCATTTGACAGTGTTGACTAGTGACCGATGATGACTGAGAACAGTAAGAGGGTCTTTGCCTCTTTGGGTCTGAAATTTTAAAAACAGTTGTGTAAAAATATTATTATCATAGTGCTGATTGAATGTGGTAGAATATTTTATTATTATAATGTCTACATGGAAAGGATTGGAGGAGGCCTTTGCCACCTGGCACGCAAAAATGGAAAAAAAAGAATGATGTTTGAATAACAAAGATATAATGAAAGAATGAAGGCTAATAATAAAAAATAATGTCATATGAGCTTGGAGTAACAGACAATAAATGTTAAATGGCTATCTGTCAGTTATTTTTGTAAAATATATCAGGATATGAGATTAATTTGCCAGAATGTAAGTTATGTAAATTAAGTATAATTACATCATAGGGATATTGTTATTTCTCTCCTAAGCAGTATTACGCAGATGTAATTGTTACAAAAATGGTTAAATTAATAATAGTTATATTCTAGATATTAGAAATTAAAACTTACCGTATCATAAATAACAACAGAGTTGGTGGCACCAAAACAAATGATCCCTTCACCGTTCCAGTCAGTTATTTCTGTAGTCCGATTGCACGCAACCGACGTATACACTTGTTCCACATTAACTTTCATTATAATGTTATTACATATAGTAATATAAAGGTAAAAACACAAATTCAATTCTTTTTAACAAAATTCGAGGTTATAATAAACATATGGTTGACACATTAGAAATAATAATGCGTTCTTGTTAGAGATGGACGATATACATCGATTTATTTAAAACACTCGATGTATAGTAACGATGCATCGTATTAAACCGATGTATTGTTAATACTTCAACATCGAATATATATCGATGTTTTTTATTCGATGCATCGACCAAGCAAATTATGAATGAGTATAGTGTTGTATAGCCGCCAAATAGCTATAGTTTATTGAACGGGGTTCTTTTAATTCGCCCGTTGGAACGCTGTAGGTCGTTCGACTCGTATTATTCGTTTGTTCGCGGGAAAATTAAATTAAACTTGATTTTTATTATGTGAAAATACTAGATTATGAATTCGCTTTAAATAAATACTCGCTGAATTGAACGAAGGAACCGACTGAAGGGGAAGAGATTAAGTAAACTTTTGTTTTTACATAGCATTGACAAAAAATATTGGAATATGTAAAGAAAAATGCGTTGGTTGTGTGATTTAGAATTTGAATAAATATATTTCCTGCTTTTATTAATATATATATATTTTTTTAATTTTTTTTTTTTTTTAATTTTAATTTTTTTTCCCCCCTCGGAACGTCACCCCACCGGGGTTTGCGGCGGGGTGGTGTGTCGGACTCGAACCGACTAAAACCACACGGTGTGCCACTCTGCGCCTGTAATAGGAGGGATCCGGGAACAGCTGTTATTAAGACATCCGGACCCCTCCTAGCGCCGGCCCGCTCCTGGTGCGGGCTCCATCTCAAAATTTTTTTCCTCTCTTTAGGCTCTTTTTAATTAAGGCCTAACCTAACCTAAAACACGTCATGGCGAAAATAATCGATGTTTAAGAAACATCGATGTATTTCTCAATACATCGTATTACCATCGATGTGACCGATCGATGCATTACATCGAAAAAAACATCGATGTATATTTTAAATGTCCATCTCTAGTTCTTGTAAAGGATGAAATGAATCCTTTGAATTCAATGTCTCCAGTTCTATGTTTTAGACTCAAAATATTTTTACACAAATTCACTTACTATATTTTGTTTTTGCTCATAAAAAAGTTATTTTGGTTAATTTTGTATTATATTTTATCATAACTTTCAGGCAAGAAAGGGAATTAAAAGGAACGCATTTAATTTTTGGCGGCAATTATTTCCCAAATTCCCAATTGACAAACGTCAAATTGGTTTTGTTTGATTGTTTACTGTGATTCATTCATTTCGACTTATTTATTATATACTGTGTGGAATGTGAATTTTATTTTATTTGCATTATCAGGTCAGAAAAATAGTTAAAATGCCTGAAGTGATGATATCCGGAATACCTGTTAATTTTCCTTTTGAGCCATATGAAGTACAAAAGGTTTATATGGAGCGAGTAATTGAAAGTCTTCAGAACAATACAAATGCTTTATTGGAGTCGCCAACAGGAACAGGCAAAACTTTGAGCCTTCTGTGTTCATCCTTGGCTTGGCTCTTGGTAAAAAAGGCTCAATTACAGATGAACGCACAAGTAGGCAATTTTTCTGAACACAGTAATACTTTGCGAGATAGTTTGAAAGCTGGTGCAGGTAAATCGAAAGATAATACGTCATGGGGGATGCCGAAAATAATATACTCGTCAAGAACTCATTCCCAACTGACGCAAGCAATGCAGGAATTAAAGAGATCTGGTTACAGGCATGTTAAGGCTACGGTTTTAGGTTCCAGAGATCAAATGTGTATTCATCCTGAAGTTTCTAAGGAAACAAACAATATGAACAAAGTACACATGTGCCAGTTGAAAGTGAAGTCACGGACATGTTACTTTTACAATAATGTTGAGTCTAAGAAGGAAGACAGATCTGTAAAAGGAGATGATATATTAGACATAGAAGATTTAGTGTCTGTAGGAAAGAAACTCAAATGTTGCCCTTACTACTTGTCTAAAGAACTTAAACAAGAAGCTGACATAATATTCATGCCTTATAATTACATTTTAGATCCAAAATCGAGAAGAGCAAATGGAGTAGAACTCATGAATAACATTGTGATTTTAGATGAGGCACATAATGTTGAGAAAATGTGCGAAGAGTCTGCATCATTACAAATCAGGACCACAGATGTCGCTTTGTGTATTGATGAAATTACTCATGTTATGAGGTCTTTCGGAGAGCAAACTGAAGAACAAATGGACATGACTGTTGACAATAGTCAGCCAAAAGACTTTACTTCTGATGACCTTTGTGTGTTGAAAGAAATGATGCTCGCCTTAGAGAAAGCCATTGATGAAATAACAGTGGGCAATGAAGGAAGCACATTCCCTGGCAGTTTTATATTTGAGCTGCTATCAAAAGCTGAGATTAGGGATCATAACCAGATGGCAATTATTAGTCTTATAGAGAATCTCATACAGTACCTCTCAACAGCTAGTGCATCACCATTCCAAAAAAAAGGAGTTGGCTTACAGAAAATTGTAGACTTATTGAATGTTGTTTTCAGTGGGACCACACATGCCTATAAAGAAAGAATAAAAATGTGTTACAAGGTCCACATACAAATTGAAGATAAAAAGAATAAGAAGACAGATAGTTGGGGTGCATTGAAAACGAGTACTTCAAAATCGGCAGAAAGAGTTCTTAGTTACTGGTGTTTTAGTCCAGGTTTTGGGATGAAGCAGCTTTTAGAACAAAATGTTAGAAGTATAATTTTAACTAGTGGTACTCTTGCCCCCCTAAAACCTTTGACATCTGAACTTGGTATACCAATTGGAACCCAATTAGAAAATCCACATATAGTCAAGTCTAATCAAATATGTGTAAAAATCATTGGCCAAGGACCTGATGGGGTACAGCTTAATTCAAATTATCAAAACAGGGACAACCCCAAATATATATCTTCATTAGGTAGAACAATACTTAGTTTTAGCAGAGTTGTTCCTGATGGTCTCTTGGTATTTTTCCCATCATATCCTATTATGAGTAAGTGCCAGGAAATGTGGCAAAGTGAGGGTATTTGGTCTAGTATTAATAATATTAAACCTATATTTGTTGAACCTCAGAGAAAAGATACTTTTAACACTATCATAAATGAATTTTATAGTAAAATAAGAGATCCAAGCACTAGGGGGGCTTGTTTCATGGCTGTTTGCAGAGGCAAAGTGTCAGAGGGTCTAGATTTTGCTGATATGAATGGGAGAGCAGTAATCATTACAGGATTACCCTTTCCACCATTAAAGGACCCTAGAATTATTTTAAAGAAGAAATATTTAGAAGAATTAAGGGTCAAAGATAAGCAGTTCTTGTCCGGTGATGAATGGTACTCATTGGAAGCGACTAGAGCAGTAAACCAGGCTATAGGGCGAGTTATCAGACATCAAAATGATTATGGAGCAATTTTACTGTGTGATACAAGGTTTAACAGTCCAAAATTGAAGAATCAGTTGTCTGCTTGGTTAAGAGATCACATAAATGTTTCTAATAAGTTTGGTGAGTGTGTAAGTGAGATTTGCAGGTTCTTCAAAAATGCTGAAGTAACTCTTCCACCACCAAGATTAAAACCGTTGCTTCCAAATGAGTTGAATTCCTGTAATAGAGAGACTAGAGACTCAGGGTATGTCAATGTCTCTGGTGTGACCTTCCCTGTAACAAATTCTAGAGCAGTGTCAAAGGAGGCCAAAAAGTCTGTTAGTCAATATCCAAACTCTAATGAAGTGTATGCAGATTTTTCAATGGATTTTTATAAAAATGCTAAATCTTCTGCATATGTTAATGAGTTCAAGCCAAAAGCTACAAAAGACCTATTTAGCTCCATTGATACTGTGGATTCTCAACAATCTACTTCCCAATGTCTAGTCACCATGCACAAGAGAGTGGCAGATACGACTATGTGCAGCAATTTAGTGAAGAAGAAAAAGTTGAAGATCAAACCATTTGGATTTGAAGACAACTTAAATGGCGAGAAAGCTGAGACAATAGTGGAAAAAGTGCCTCCGACCTCATTAATAGACTTTGTCAAAGAGATTAAAATTCTCTTAGAAACAGAACATTATAAGGAATTTCAACTGTCAATTTCTGCTTATAAAAAAGGTGGCGATTATGAAGATTTTTTAAAGATTTTATGTAAATTATTTCAAAATAATAAAATGTTTTATTTATTAAAAGGCATGAAGAGATTTTTAAAAGAAGAACACAAAGCTATTTTTCAAGATTATTGTGATAATGTTAAATTGAATAGATGACACTTAAATGTATACAGATTTTACTACTTTATTTATTATTTAATTACAATCATCACAAAATAAAATAAATATATGACATTAAAGTAGTGTTTTATTAATGGAAGGGCTTTTTAATCACACTACGAAATAAGAATTTCATTCATGTACCCATCATTTTATGGAGATGATTATTATAAACCTACAACTAGGTCAATTGTCCTTTTATGATAACTTACTCTAAGTTGTTTAAATAATTTTAAATCTTTAGGTTAGTAGATTAAATATTCTACAGTTGAAAGGGTCAGTTCTAATTATTATTATAAGCATAAAAAATATTGCATCAGCAGTGAAACAAACAAGTTTATAGTGACTTATCACCAATATGCAGCTTGTTTCCTGGCCATAGCAGATGAACTATCAAGGCTACTACTAAGTAATCTTTCTATCAGCAGATAGTAGGTACAGTATTAGGCCTATGAAAGGTGCACATCTTTGAATAGATCTTGGGTAAGAAATTAAATAACAAAATATAATGATTAAATATTCTAATATTTATTAACTATTTATTAAAGATGCATAACTAACACTCATTGCTTGCTTTAGCGTTTATTTTATTTGTAATTTCTACTGCATTAATCCTAAGCATTGTTTGCTGAGCCCTGGCAAAGTTGATCCTCATGTACTGCTTCCTCCTTTTCTTCTTGAAGTGTGTTCTGGTATGAGAGAGGCCCTTCGATATGATTGTAGCAGTTACATTGACTAACCCGGGTTGAACTAATGGTCTTCCAATGAGAGAAAAGTCTTTAGTGCCCGCTAAAAGAACTTTATCCAGCTTAATCTGGTCACCGATGTTCGGAGGCCAGATTCCTTCCACGACTAAGAGATCACCGTCTGTAACTCTCCATTGCTTGCCTAGTAGATGCACAATTGCGAAGTTGCGTGACGCATTTTTCTCTATTAGTTGGTTGCATTCAGCTATAACATCTTTTGAGATCTCAGAAACGGATTTGTTTTCAACGGGTGCTAGGTTTGTTGCTAATCTTGATAGTATTCCAGCTGTAAAAGAGAAATATTTATTATTACTGACAAGAGTAAGAAAATAATTTCTTCGAGACGTCACAAATTGTACCTTGTCCTCCATGAAATACACGGCTAAGTTTTTGCAAACTAGCTCTAATCATAGCCATAATTGCTCTATAATGGGTTCTCTAGTTGTTTGAATTATATTTTCCAATTCAACATTTCATAACATAAATAAGTAACCTCAAAATGAAATACCACAAATAATATAGAGCATCTAGTATCCGTCAGGGTATTAGTGACATTAGTATTCTTGTTCTATGATCTATTGTACTATACTAATAGTGTGTAAAACACTATCGACAACCTTGAATTTTTCGTGCGAAAATAATACTTATAGCACATGAAATAACTAAAATGTAATGTGTCTAAGTTTAAAACTTTGCAGGCCTGCTTATTTATAAGCAGTTACTAATATTTGTCAAATTTGTATTTATTTTAAGATAGTAATCTCATCTTACTCTCTCTCCCAGGAGCAGAACAATTAAATAGTCTTATGCTATTAGTTAATACAAACCGCATTTATTCCAATCGACCTTCATTCAGTCATTAGTGGGTTATAAAATTAAGTACTCTGAGGAGCTTAGAATTTGAACAAATGTCTAATTTATTTATTATTTAATTATTCTAACGTAGTTAGATTACATGTATCACATAAATTTGAATGAGCTCAGAGAAATGAGATAGGTTTTTCCCACTGCACTCCACTTAGATCGATTTTGTTCTTCTCGCATCCAGCTCCTGCCAGCCATCTTGCGTCAATCGTCACTCCACCTGGCCTGTGGGCGTCCTACACTACTCGTTTTTCCCAACAGTTGCCGGTTCTGCGGCTAATATGGCCAGCCATTTCAGCTAAACATTTTATTTATAGTAAATATGTATTTAGAAATATATAAGTATATTTATCAGTAGTCTGGTTACCATAGTACAGGTTCTGCCTAGTTTGGGATCAGACCGCCTAGTGTAAGATGTGTGAAAAAAAATTGTTTGGGATTCACCAGAGAATTTATTCGTCTCCCGATATATTCTGACGACAAGCCGGTCTGAATAGCTCAACTAGGATAGATTGGTGGTGGACATGAGATCTGTGCTCGGTTACCCTTTCAATACGAACTAACAATAGATAGTTTTGTAACCTCTGTGTGTTAATCATTTTTAGGCGATATTTTACATTCAGTCATTCCTAGAATAGTTTGTATTTACTATTAAAACATGTCACCATTCAGCAATAGATGGCATTAGTATAAGCAGTACGCGCCTCTTAGAACAAATTCCTCTATTAGAATAAGCATTTGATCATAGATGTCTCTCTCTTACATTTTTTTTCATATCGGGTGTCCATAAAGAAACATTTATTCTCCGCCAGGAGCTAACTCTAGCATGCATGTGCAAAATAACATTTTTTTTAAAAAGACATGACTTTTCAATTTTCAGATATATTTTTTTGGTTTTTGGATTTAGTTATTTTGGGATAATTTATTCCACTATTGAGTAAATTCATAAAAACTCACTATTAAAAAAATCTAATTGATTTTAATGGATTTTCTCATTAATGGATTGAATAATTCCAAAATTAAAAATGTTAGTAATGCCCGAACAATATGAATAATGACCAGTAAAATCGTTTTGTGTGACTCATACAAAGACCGTTGTTTAATCACATTGTCTGACCGTTATAAATATTATTACATAACTGTTGGGTAAGTTGGTAATGCAGCCAATTAGCGTACATTAGGCAGTGTGTTAGGGTCAGAACATACATGGAAGGATCATGGTCATTAGCAAACAGGTGTTGCTAGAGAGAACACTTGTTTTCTAGTCAGAACGAGTATGATTAAAATTTAATAAAGGCGGATGGTTTATATTGTTTACATCATGAGTTGAAAACTCATACGAAACTTCAGTGTGTTATAAAACAAAGTGTGTAATAATGAGTACTTTACCTTCTTGTATTTAAGTATTAATTTAGTGTATTTATTTGTAAATCTTGTTTTATGTCAATGACCAGTACATTTTTTATGGTATAGGGAGAATAACGAGCGGACGGGTCGCTTGATGAAAAATAACTGCCGTCAATGTACTGCAACTCAAAAGTCACCCTATTACCATAGAGACAACATATAACTAGAGTAGGAAAGCTGGCTGCAGGCGAGTAACATCGTTAGAGAGTGAAAAAAGATTGTGCGGGTTTTGCATCTCTCTCTCCACTCTTCACCAATTAGCTGTCAGTCCTCTACAATTTATATATTATCTCTATTGCGATTGTAAGGGACTGTGACAGCCAATCAGTGACGAGAGGAGAGAGAGATGCAAGACCTGTACAATCTTTTTTCTCTCTCTAACGCTGTGACGGTTTCACTTACAGGCCGCAACAAAATAATTGTTTAACTTTTCTGTGAGGCCGTGGTATCAATTCGGTTGAGCCTGCCCATTTGTGCCATGTGCATGGCCAAGTGCCATGAGCATGGATCTCTCACGGTAAACATTTTATTTTGCGTGGTATAGTAGGCCAAACCCTCCTTTCTAAGGAGAGACCTATGTCCAGCAATAGACTAGTAAAGGCTATTGATGATGATGAAACATTTTGAAATACTATTGTAGGTACATTGTTTTGTACCATAGATTAGCAACTCGCCAACTTCTCAACTCAGTAGATTCTCAACTAACCGAAAGTTCAATTAAAAAAAAAACAAATTAAATCAAAAATCTAAGTTTTCAAGTCACAACAGAAATAGAAAGCCAAAACATTCAGTTACAATCCTCAGTCTGTAGAACCTGATTTATTTTATAAGCGAAATTATATTTCTCGGAAATATATTTGTATTTACAGTAATTTTTGCTTTCCTCTTTATAAATATAAAAATACTATAAAAATACTCGTAAATACTGATCCCTAAAGTATTAGGTATATGCCTTTTTATTAATTGTTTCCTTTGTAGCACATGTTATTTGAAAAATATTGTTTAAATAAGTAAATAAATTAGTTATTTCTTTTTTATAAGACAACTTCCGTACTAGAAATATAACCTGTCTCGCGGAAAACGTTACAAAGATTCATGAAATGGACACAACAATTTGTGGATTACACACAGTGTTGTCCTATGTGGGGATCCAGCACTCAGCGCAGTTGGAAGTGGTGAGGTGACTTCTTAGACCACTACGCCATCTTTGCAGTCAATTAAATATTTCCCATATCTCTTTAAAATGGGGGTAATCACAAATATTTGGATACCTGGACACCACCGATACCTTGGTAGTTCTAAACTATAGTCGACGTAATTATAATGGACAGAGCTTCTTATTGCAATAAAAAACTGTGCATGCCATTAAAGTGAAAATGACGTGTAATTAAGTTAAATAATAACCTCACACATCTCGCACATGGCCGTCTGATCCCAAACTAGCCAGAGCTTGCCCATGGTAAGCAGACGGTTGAAAATCATGTTTACACCAAACGATCTCATTACAATTATTTGTCCTGGGTGTTGCACTGGGAACTCTCAGTCAGTTTTGAGTAATTCTTTTTATATGAAATTCAGTATATATTGAGGAAGGCTTTGTAACATTATTCAGTAACTTAACAGTTAGTGTATCAGTTTACACGTGGGAGAGCCCATACTGCATTCTTTTGTAGCTTTTCTAGTAACGTTACCGACTCGAACCACCTTGTGTGGTCACAGCCTGAGAGACCGTGACCACACAAGGTGGTTTTGTAATTGCTTGACGTAACATTCTGTCTCTCATTCTTTAAATCGATATTTATATCTCTAATGACGATAACCTCTTCTTGTTTTGGTCCCTTTAACCCTCCAGCAGCTGATCCAAATATTTAATGAATTCTATTTTATTTTTATTCGGTGGTCTATGTAATGCAATCAAGTGTAATGTACTCTTATGTAACATAATTTTGTCATATATAATTTTCAATTCCGGGTTATAAGTTTTTGTTGTAGGTAGTTAAGATCATTTCTTATATAAATCAAGATACACCTTTTATTTTGTCTTGTAATATTCATGTGCACTGTATTTTTGTTAATATTATAATATCAAATTATTGCTTAAGTGCTGCGTTTTACTATTTTTTAATGATGTTATGTTTATATGTTATAAGTCTATCTCTGTTGTTGTTGCCACCATCTATCAAGCGACAGACCCGGCACCTGCACGACGAATCCATGGAACGCTAAGAAATAGGTCATAACTTAGAAAGATTTTTTTGGGTTAAAATTGTATTATTGCGTCCAGAAATCTAAATATTCCAAATACCTATTTTTCATATCGATAAAATTATATAGAATTAATAAAGTTATGAAACAGATGCATTTACGAAGTTTTAAGCCCGCTTGAGTTTAAAAATTACTGTAAATACTATGTTTAATCACTACAGTTATTAGAATATTTGGGCATATTGGTAGCAAACATTGACATCGAACTTTGTTTAGATAATATTCATCTTTCTGTGGGTTACTGTACACCTTTTCATGAAAATTATAGCTACTGAAGGCAAGTCAAAATTGAAATACTGGAGATTTATGTATATAGTTTATAAAAAATAAAATAATTAAACAATACGGGTTACAAATAAAGTGTTCTAAAAAAAAAAATACATCATGTTGACCGTGCGTGTATCGCACGTAAGTGGCATTGACAGCTTTAGTTATACTGGTCAATTAACAAAGAATAGTCATTTAATAATTACAATTGCAACTTTTGTACCAGGTGATCTTCAGTATCTGTATTTAATGTAGGTAAAAAAATCTCTCCCATTACTTTTTAAGGCTAAATGTTTAATTGCAAAAGAAATACTAATTTTTAAAAATAAAATATACTGTAAAGTTAAAATACTTTAAAAAGAATGCGTAAAACTATTGGGGTCCAGTCATGGTACAAGCGTGTATACAATGATAGTTCAAGTTATACTGGCCAATGAAATATCACAAGTCATTCAAAGCGTGAATGTCTGTTTTTTTACGGCCTTTAATAGTCCACTACTGGACATAGAACTCTCCTTAGAAAGAACTTTAGCCTACTATGCCACGCTGGCCAGACTTTTTGATATATTGTTTGTGTCAAGGTTTCCTTCTCTGCAGTTCTATTCTAATGATAAAGATTTAAATATTGCCAATTTGATTTTGGAGTTTTTTAAGATTTTTGAATAGCTGATGACTCATAAGTAAAAAGAATGAAGCATCAACAAGGATCTCTAGTTAATATAATGACTTGTTTATTGTTGAAGCCTTTTAAAAATCAAACTTTTGTAAAAAATACACTCTCTCTCTTTTTTTTTTTGTGCACGAGATGTATAAGAAAGTTTCATTAATAAACACTTCGGTTTGCAACTTAAAAGGCTCTGTACCAACGCTGGAGTTTAACGCTATGGTCAATGACATTCTTAGAGCTTTTAAACGGAGCTTATATATTATTCCAGCAACATACATTCTATGACGGATTACAAAGTACGTTTCGTGCACATTAAAAAATCTAACTCCATCGTACACGGTATCGTACGTCACCGGCTGTTCGCGCGTTTTCGCCGTTGATCGGGTGGCTCCGGGCGCGTTAGGGGTGCGTTGCCATGGTAACGGGCGGGCACGCGGCGCTCTCGGCAGCGGCCACAGCCGAAAATAAACACGGGAGTGACGCCTCGCGGACTTGTTGTGGAGCAGGGGACACGCCACTGGGGCGCTGTGGGGGTGTGCGCGCCGTGACGTATGTAATTATCGTTTCAGGTTTCACACCAGGAGTATTAGATCAGTCCTATTGACGCATTGTATTAGACAAAATTCCTTGGGAAAATTGGAATATGTAATTTTAAAAACACTTTCATATTTAAAAAAATATAGTTTTTATAAAACTTTCTAGATTTACATAGGTAGTTTACACGTCTATGTATGTGTAGGGAGCTAAAGACACGTTATGTGTGAAGTTGAAGGCGGGCTTTTTAAGAATCGCACTTAAAAGTTGCAGGGCTCGGAGGCGTGGGGCTCCCGTATAAGAGCGGTGGTGTCCCCGGGGCGAGGGTGGGCGAGGGGCGCGGGCGGGTGTGGAGGCCGGTGCGCGCGCAAGGCTCTCGCGTCAGTCGCTGGGCGGCGCGCGGCCGGCTCGCGGTCGATAGCTGCACGCTGACAGCTGCACGGGCACGGCCATGTTGCGCGACGCGTGCACGCGCGAGCGGCTCCGAAGTGCTGCTGTGTGAGTGAAGTGCTGTGTGGAACTGGCCCCTTCTCCCCTCGACCGCCACGCGGCCGCCTCGAGCTTTTGGTCAGTATCATCACCACATCTGACCGGTCACTATCAGTATGATCACCTGTGCGGCGTGTACCGCGGGCACGCGCTGAGTTACGCCTGGTTGAAAAGTGATCGTTGACTTGGTGCGATCTCATTCGTACATATTTACGGGTGAATGCGCTGAAGGGTGACCGGGGCCGTGTACACACGTCCTAAATCTGAAGCTAGGTTTCATCTCACAACGTACATACGTCATATAACAGGTAACTACTAATGTTAGGTTAGGCTGGTACTGGCGCGAAGGGGACCACGTTTTTGTGACACGTAGGGCAACGTGTAAGGATTCTGATTTTAGATACTTCTTTTAATTTAGAATTCAATGACAGTGACTAGAATAGGGTATTTTGAGACACAAAATAATAAAATTCTAAATGTAAATTCGTAGGCTATCGTAGCGTGATGTAGGCCCTCGTAGCAATTGTAGCATATCGTAGCGAGTAGCGCTTCATTTACAATGAGCTTACGCTTTATAGGACCGATTGTAGAACTCATAGATTAAATTTTATATATGAATATGTTTAATATAAATAAAAAATAAAATAATTATTTAATAAAATATTATGTACTTGTTAATTTTGTTACTTTATGACTGCATTTATTAACCGAAAACAGTCTTAAAATTATATTGCATAGAAGAATAAAATAGCAGAATGAGGTAGCTTATTTTATTTATTATTATTAATAATCCCTAAATTATAGTAATGGGAGTCAATAATTATTGGGTATGGCAACTATGCTACGTCAATTTATTTCACTAATGGAGGCTTGTCGAAACATGTGCTCGCGTGTTATTTATATCACGATAATGATCAGCTAATGCATTATTAACTAAATTGTTGTTGTTAAGTTAGTATACTTAGGTGTAACTTACACATGCCCAGGGACGTTTAAGTTATTTGAAGACCTTTTTTTCGAGTGATTCTCCGAGTCTTTTCCCAAACTAGGTTGGAACCAGCTATCAGTCTATTATGAACCGGCTGAACTTCAATTTTTTACGTGAAGTGACTGCCATAAGACCTCCACAACCTAAATACGAGGTGAGCTCGAAGTTCTGTAGATACACTGTAGTCGAATTTTTAGGGATCCGACTACCCGAAACGATTGCCATAGATGTTCTTATGGCAACCGGGGACCGATGGCTTGACGTACTCTCCAAGTTAGGGAGGGGTCTATAATATGTTAATAATGGTCACCCATCCATAGACTGATCTGTCTAAGATTGCTTAGCTTTACGTTATCCTACTCGGTTACCACTCAGTCACGACCCCCCTTTAGACTTTGTCTGAATCTAAAATCTAATTTAGCCTATATTGGTCATGTTGTGATAGTGTCGTAGTATAATCAAGCACCTGCTTTACGAGTCGGTCCATATGGTAAGCGATTACCGACACCTGTGAATTTCAATACGTGGTGGTTGGCGTAACGATTTCTGTATATTCGAGGCCTTTTAATTGTTTGTTGTTCTATTTAAACTTGAAATCTGTTTTAACATACATGTATTTCAAATTTAATTGGATACTACCTAATTAATTAGATTTATTAAAAACAAAATAAATGTTTGTGGTGCTGGGCCTTGATTTAATATATTTTAATTGATAAAATAAAGACGGCAACATTATATAATTTATAACATAAGATCGGCTGTACTAATCTTTATTATGCCTGTTGTTTTTTATATGTCTCCGCCCTGAATTTTAACTAATAAAATATTTCAAAAAAAGTCGAATTAAAATGATGACGGAAATGTATTTTCTCATTTATTGTGTGTGATACCTATCACCGATGGTGGCAAACGAAACTGCGGGGATCTATTAGTAAAGTGTATTAGTGAAAAAAAAAAAAAAATACGATAAAGACCGTTCAACGGCGATACATTTTTATTGCGAGATGCAGGATCAAAATCAAAATCAAAATCATTTATTTTTGCATTAAACAGGTATAAAGGTGGTAGAAGATACATATATATTACATGGGTACGCTGTATAACCTCTTAAAGGTGTGCAAATATTTAGACATAGATATTTAAAAAATTATTATTAAAACGTTCAACATTACAAATACAATTTGAAGAATATATACATATCATAAATTTATTCAGAGAATTAATAATGTCAAGAGTATTATGAATGTTATTAAGTCAGATCAATACAATAAAATCAAAAAAATAATAAACAAAACAACAATAATAATGAAATAGTCAAAATAATAAAAAAAAAAGTCACATTGTCATGTTCAACATAAATTAAATAACAATGAACGAAATTAATTTGATTTACAATTTGTCTTGCAGAAAATCATTTACGTTATAATAGCATTTTTGGCTCAGAACTTTTTTTAAATGTCTGTTTAAAGATAGTCGGATTTGACTCCTTTATATTCCTAGGTAATTTATTATATATTTTTGGAGCCATGGCGGATCAGTAGCCTAATACTTAGTTCAGCCTATTTTTACAGCTGGCGCTGAGATATATTTACAGCATGTGAATAAAAAATCAATCAGTCAAGGTCAACCATTACTGGTTACAGCTTTTAGATAAATTACACTCAGACTCTGAACAAATGATCGTGCTCATCACACTATAATTTGTCTTGGGTGGGAATCGAACCCACGACCTCTAGTTTAGCAGTCAGGATCACTAACAACTAGGTCAACAGACCAGTCAAAATTAGATTTAGATACCAAAGCTTTCGGCTGGTCTTTTTACGACCTAAGGGAAAACTGTGGCTTAGAATGCAGTAGCTCGGTGGGTCCAAGGTCGTGTCCTGTAATGGAAAAAGCTATTAGGATAGCGACATTAACTGGCCTAAGTTATAAGATATATGGCTAAGTTATACATTTAAGTTACGCATTAAAAACAAAACGGTTTTTGCTTTTTTTTTCTATTTGAAAAGTTCCGACATAAATGTATAACATATATCTATGTTGTACGTATATGCAAAATATATATTTATAATATATATAGTTATATTATTAATGTATTTCAACCCAAACTCAACTCTCGTGTAAATGGGGCCAATATATGTAGATACTTATATACAGAGGTGTCGATGGCGGTAACAGTGTCGCGAGTTCAATGGTTTTTTCCTATCTCAAAAAAATATTCTTTTGTTTGTTGTTCATAAATACTGAACGCGTCTAAAGAAGGTTTCTCTTCAAAAAGAAAAGTGACAAAAGAATGGCTTAAGACTCTGTGAGGCCGTAGTATCGAATTTAAGACCATAGAACCTCGGCTGAAAAAAAAAACGACATATTAATATGCAAATTTCAAGTACGGAAGATTGTTAAAGTTGAAACACTTAAAATTGTATGCTAAAGATAACGTCAACATTTATACTTCTGAAGTATGACATCGTGTTATGGCATATAACGTTTATGTAATGACAGTTAAACTTTACACTGCTTAATAAAATACAAAAAGACAACAATTATCGTGAATTATGGTCTAATTTTAAATACTAAGTGATCTCTGGAATAACTAAAACCTTTAAGTAGAATTGATTAATTTGTAAAATCAACTGTATTTTAGAACGAAATAGATTTGATTTTATAAAATATCACATAGTTCTTAAAAATACTTTATTTTAAATTATTCCTTGATACCAGTATCTGTTGAGTTTCGATTTAAGATGTAATAAGCGAATCCATCTAAAGCATCGAGTTGAAGTAACTTAAACAGACGTTTACAGAAATTCTAGATTCAAGTTAACACAATTGGTCTGTTGATGTTTAATTATTCTGCGTACATTTCCCAAAGGCTTAAATCTCTAACAACTTTGAAAGCTATCGCAACTTAGACATTAGCAACCTTCAAACCACCTATAATATCTAAAATTTAATGACATTTGATACGATTGCTACGTAGCCACGATATTGCTGCAGTGAGTTACGGTGCTACGATATTTGCTACAAAATGCTACGAAGGGCTACGATAATATTTGTAAAAATAATAACAATGGCACAAACCTGTAGTACTTAGTGCTAATGATCGCAAGGAAGTATGGAAGGGCAAAGAGTTCTATGGTTGGTTTTATGGGGCCCTAAATGGGTCCGATATGGACCATAAAGGATCTAAGTCTTGGCGAGGGTATGGTGATCTCTTCGTATGTAATTTGTTACGCTGATAATACTTTGGTTACAGTCCGGGCTCCGAACTTTGAAGAGGCTCATGCCTGGCTACCAGGGGACTCTCTCTAGTGGTCAGGCGCATTGAAGTGCGAGGCTTACGGGTGGCCCTAGATAAGACGGAGTCCCTCTTATTTCATGGGCCTTCATGGTCCTCTCCCTGGCGCCACAATCGTTGTCAACTCGGTCCTCGTACCGGTTCAGGTTCAAATGAAGTATCTTCGACGAGCACTTCCGACAGCGGTTAGCAGCAGACGGCCCTCGTCCGAAGAAGTACGCGAGTGGCGTGAGGCCGGTCGTCGAGCCACGATGGCTCGTTGGTCGTCCCGTGTGAAGGCTCCACGTGCTGGTTTTGCCCCTTTGCGTTTCGTTCTGACTGACGCAGGTCCTTTCCTGGCCCGCCTACTTCAGGAGGTACTTGCACTCGGTCGCTAGGAGGGAATTGAGTCCCGAGAATTGCCTGGCCAGGGCGGATGATCTCCACTCGGACCCAATCCGCCGAACTAGCGGCGTCCGCGTCTGCGTCTTTGTAGCCTAATTCATTACAGTAGAAGATTACTTCTACTTTGCATTAGCAAATATGAATCACGTCGGCCTACCCGAAACACACACATGAGTAAAACTGTTATCTTTAACAAAGATGGGCTATAGATAATATCCAAAATGATCTCTCTCGCTCTCTCTCTCTCTGATCAGTCCCTAATGTTTGAGAGAGAGAGAGAGTGTCCGGAGAGAATGATCTGTCTCCACTGATTCGAAAATGGTATAAATTCATTAATTCTCTAGCAATTTTATTAGTAAACAAACACAATTAATTTAATTTATTATAAAATCTTATAACGTTTAATCATATCTTAATACTTTTAAGACGAGCAAAAACAAATTTACTTAGCTCATGATAAGACATATAATTTAAGAGATACATCAGTAGTATTACCAGTCGATAAAATCAAGTGGAGCGAGCGACGTGGC